TTTATTTGAGAGAGGACTTGTATCGCTAAAGTTTCTTCGGAAAGAATTTTTACGGAAAATTAACTAACGACCAGAAACGTAACAATATTTAGATGCCACAAGGCAGTAAATGTTGTTTTAAGTTTAAAACAAGCAATAATTGTGCTAATATAAAAAAACAAACTGCATTTAGTACCAAAATGTATGAGTGGACACTGCTTTAAAGCTACTAGGTTGTTGGATTCTGCTAATAAAATAAATAGTCAATGCATCAGACCCATGGGCGTCCGCAGAAATTTTTCCAGGGAGGGGCAAAGTTTTCCAGGGGGGGGGGGGGAGTAGTGTGAAATTGTGATCTGAATGAAAGATTCATATACATATGCTGAATGAATATAGAAAGAATTATGTTTCTCATTTTCCAGGGGAGGTGCTCCCTATCCCCCTGCGGACGCCTATGATTAGACCTCCACAGTAGGAAGTCTACCAGTCGTCTTATGTACGCTATAGAACACGCTTAACCGAAATTTTAGGTTTGTTGGGAAGAGTTCGTCATTTGCTGAATTTGAAATGCCAAAGTTTTCCAATAGCTCTGTGAAAGGCTCGGTATGGCCAGGTGGTTAGGGCGCTCGACTCGCAATCTGAGGGTCGCGGGTTCGAATCCCCGTCACACCAAACATGCTCGCCATTTCAGCCGTGGGGGTGTTATAATGTCACGGTCAATTCCACTATTCGTTGGTAAAAGAGTAACCCAAGAGTTGGCGGTGGGTGGTGATGACTAGCTGCCTTCCCTCTAGTCTTACACTGCTAAATTAGGGACAGCTAGAGCAGATAGCCCTCGTGTAGCTTTGCGCGAAATCTATAACAAACCAAACAAATAGTGCATACTTGTATATACCTTAGCTACACCTAGTCGTTTAACCCTTGAAGTTGAAAAATTGGTAGTGTTATTAGCGCAAGCTTTATTTAGTAGTATGAAATTTCCACTTCTTTGTAGCCATAAAAAATTCCCCACCTCGCTATGCTCTGTTCATATAGCATTTTCACCTTGTTGTGCAGCGCTCTCATAATATTTGATTGGCCAAAAATGTTAGCTGTTGCTTATTTTGCCTAGCAAACTATTGGATTACGTAGCCCTTTATCTCAGAAACTTGTGAAAGGTTTACTAGTGTGGGTGGTTAGCCTCTAACTGCGTGGGATGAATGTTCGTGGGACTTATCAAACACACCATAATCAATAAAATGCGTTGAGTTTCTACCTACTAGGATCAATGTTTTTAACAGCATACTGAGCACCATTTTTTTGAAAGCCTAGCCTAGGCAAGTGCAAGTTAAAGTCACCTGTATCTTCAAAGTTCAAAATGTCAATTATGCTAGTCAAATCAATCTCCCTATTTGGCACTGGTAATATGTATTCGCGTATTAATGACTAGCTTGTTTGTTTTAGCGCAAAGCTATACAATAAGCTATATGCGCATGCTTACTCCACCGCAGGAAATCGAACCTCGGATTTTTGTGCTGTGAGTCCGTAATAGCTCTGGATTTTTTCATATTGTATGTATTTTCTCGTACATGAATGTCTATGTCATCCATTCCGTAAGCCCCTAATACACTTTCTATTAAAATGCATCCGTATATATATATATATATAAACGATTGGTACCGTAACTTGGCAACATCTCAACTGACGTTTAATTAAAAAGTTGATTTCCATTCAAGATAATAACCTTATTCTTTACTGGAAAATGTGAACTGGATGTTAAATGTAGTCAAAAACGGTTTCATACACATGCAACAAGAGCATGACAAAAAACATTATATTAGGTCTATTTGCATTTGATTTTTCCATGTGCTTCATTGTACTACGTAATGATGTTTGTTGTAAAAGCTGTAGTGTAGTGACCTATATTAATAGCAAAAAAAAAAAGTAAGAATGACTACTAATTTTGGTTTTGTGCAGTTCCAAGCCCACCTCGCAACTTTTCCCTAGTGTGGATCTCCAACAACACAGTGCGGCTCCACTGGGAAGAACCAGACCATCCCAATGGAATAATACTAGGTTACCACATATACTACTTACAACCTGCTCGAAACTTGACAGAAATAGAAAAAGTCTTAAAACCGTTGCCAGTTATGGATTACTTATTAACTAACTTACGTAAGTTATACTGTTCACCATAATAAAAACATAAAAAATAATTTGCTAATGGCTTTATAAATTATAGTACAATCTAAAATTTAACCAACTGAATAGGTGTTTACTTATTTAAATGATTTATCTGTTATGTGAAGAGATGTGATTTTTTTAGAAAGTGGGAGAGAAAAAAAATATGAAAATGTAAGAGAAAATAAACCATGCATATTATTAAGAATTAAACACAACTCCATATTTGTGTTGTATGGTATTACAAATATCATCAGTATTACAGTAACTAGTAAGGCTAAGAATGATGTAGTATTTGAAAAGATATGAAAAAAAGTGGACTTCATGTACTGATGACTTCTTAGAAGTAACTTAGTAAGTGAGTTTCCCAAACATAAACATAGAATCATTCAGAATTCAAATCTTGCTAGAGTAGATAAAATATATAAAACAAACCTTATGGGACATAAAGAATTAATTGAATCTATGAAGAGTTTACTTTATTACAGAGAATAAAGATTCTTGTTTTATGTCATTTATGCAAGGGTTAACACTCTTAACATAGATTTATATTTAATACGTAAAAGAATTCTTGAGACAATCAAATAAGTTTGTCATTTTATTTTAAAAGATAGCTAGCACAAGTTAAAAATAAACAAAAAAGTCTAAAAGAAAACAACTGCATAAGGTATGCTGCATTCACAAGTTTCTTCCTAAACATATTTCAAACAGAGAAAGAAACTTTTAATAGGTAATAGTTAGGAATTTATCGTGACACTGAAACATTCATATACAGATATGTAAGCCTTTGTGATAGAAGTATGTCTTCTAATGTCATTCAACAGAATAGACATTTCATTTTGTTTTATGGTTGTTGTATGCTTCTGGTACAGTAACAAAAAAAAAATCTTAACTTTTAACTTTCATAAATGACAAAACAAATTCATACAACTATGTAGAAAATGTTTTGTTCTCAGTTTTTTTTCTTTCTCATCAATTCATGCATGACATAGAAAAATGAATTTCTACCAAGTTGCTTGAGTCAGTCCTTGTAATCTTACAGCCAATCAAAAACGTTTCAAGACATTACATCTCCATCATTTACAGATATCTATGTGAAATCTCTGGTGCTGTACTAATGGATTTTTATACTTTGTTTCTTGAAATGAGCTTCATAAAATGGCTCTCCTAAGGCATTCAAAGGGGGCTTTAGAAAGCCTGAAAAGTTGAATTAGATGTCTCTAAACTTAGATATTCTTTAATGGAGCTTTCTTTTCTTTATTGAAAACACACTGCAAAAGAGACGTCAAATGACCCAGTCACATGAAGAAAGAAGTTGTATGATGGAAATTTTTCAATATTTTTCTTTAAGATATGACTAAATCAATAAGTACCACTATTATTTTAAATTTATCATTAGAAAATTATGGTAGAGTTCAGTATATATATAGAAGTATGGAAATAATAAATTAATTAATGAAGGAACTTTGTTCTTAGTTTAAAAACATTTTTTGAAGAACTGCTCATGCATAAGTTATACTAATCTGGTTAAATTCATAATATTTTATGTAAGTAATAGGACTTAGGGAAGTAGACAAAACGTTTATTTTATAAGAAAAATTAAAAATATTTTAGAAATTTTGCACATGGTTAATGTCTTAAATGAAATTGGGGAACACAAGCTGGTAATGGTAAGTCTGGTATATATCTATAAATTAGGTTTTTTTAGTATAACTGTGTGTTAACATCATTGTTTTTAAAACAGATTTTTACTTTTTTGTTTCAGAACCCTACACTGAATACATCATCTGGTTGAAGTCTTTCACTTGGAAGTTTGAAGGCCAACCTAGTCAAAAGTTAAAACTACGTACAGATGTGCAAGGTGCTTGTTTGGTAACAAGAATATTCCTAATTTATAAGTATATTTTCCACTAAGGAATGAGTATGTTTATGTTGTTGATGTCAGTTAGTTAAGATGTAAACTGAAAGGATTTTGTGGAGTAGTATAGTTGGATGGTTATAGTAATCTCTTCATAGCATTTTGTTTACATGTGCTTATCACCTGAAGCTTCAACATTTAGAAAAACAATACAAGTGACTTCTAAACCTAATGCTGACCCACTTCAGGATTAATAAAGAGACTAGCTAGCTGTTTGTGTAGCTCTTTTGTTTTATGTCAAAGTGATTAAATAATGCTTCAATCAGAAGTAGTGATAATTACTGTTCAGTTGTGAGTATAGTCATTTCATTATGTTTAAGAAAATATTAATTGTTGTTATTGCTTCAGTTACTGGAAATAATGATCACAGAGTATTCATTAGTGAGATATAAGTTTTTACATTAATCAGTGTTTCAAACTTTAATTGTTTCATGCAGTTTTATGTTTTGGTTCTATCTTGTTTTACTTTTCAATACAACAGCCACTCTGTAACCCATTTGTAAAGTATAATAAATTATAAATTTCAAAATAATTAGACTTAAAAGTGATATTTTATTGGGTTTCTAAATGAATAAGAGCTTAGAAAATTACTACATAAATGAACCATAGAAATTTTTGTTCTATTTTTAAGCTTACATACTAAACATATTCTGTGTTAATTCTGCTTTTAATTTTTTAATTCAGTGTCACCTTTATGGCTTATCTGAGAAGTGTTTTCAGGATTGGCAGACATCTAACTCCATTCTAATGTTTCATACAGTATTACTCAATGTAACCTAATATTTTGCATTTTAAAAGCATAAAGTACAAAGAATGGTATTGGTAGCAAACACACATACACACACACATTGTCCAGTGAAGCATTAACCATCAAGACTACTAAGAAACCAACTCTTAGTAGAGATTAAAAGTATAAAAGAAAAACTTATCTAACTCCTACTTGTATTCAAATAATTTATTCCTTTCATGCTTTCTTCTCATTACCAATTCACCTCTTTACAATATAAAGTTTCAAACTAATGAATGATTTAATCATGGAAACTTTCTTCACTTCAATGTCTACTTTTTACCTGCTTACTTCTACCTGGAAGTCAAATTTTTTTAATCCAATTATTGCTTTCCTATAATAGACTTAAAGAAGAAATTTTGAGACATCTTGAATCTTCCAAGACAGTATTGTTTGTGAAAAAAGTTTTATTTGATGCTTTTAGAAGAACTTGACTAGGATACAAACACTCATATGACATGAAAGGGGATCCGAGTATTTAAACAGCATTCATAGAGGAAGAACAGTGAAGACTTATAGTGAGAAATATTAACCAAAAAATAGCATACTTCATAATTCAAACTAACCTGATCACCTTTTTTTCTTCTTAAATTTACTTCCTTTAAAGATGCATTATATCAAAATATTTCTTTCAGTATGTTTCTTAATATCATAATCACTAAGCTACAACTTGGCCATTAATATTAACTAAAATACAGTAAACTGTATGTTCATTGCTTAAAATGATTAAACAGTAAGCTGAAATCAAAATACTTCAATTCTAAATTATGATTTTGTTGTTGTTGTTTGTCAATAAGCACAAAGCTACACAAAGAGCTATCTGTGTTCTGCTCACCACAACCTGGTTTCTAGTTGTATAAATCCACAGAAATATCACTGTGCCACTGGGAGGTTCTAAAATGTGACATATGACAAAACATGCAAACATATTTAATTGCATGCTTAAAAAATATTGCATATTTATATTTATAGACATGAAAATATTTACATATCTATTTGCTGGTTAAGTCTTGATAGGACTAGCAGTTATTGGGGGAACTGATTATTTTAAAATAATGTAATCTATTAAAATATTTTAAGATCTTATTCTTATTTTCTCAAATGTATTCATGAAAAAATTGTTATTCTTAGTAGTTTTTGCCCATTTTTTCTACAAGTTAAAAACGGAAATTTGAAAAAACAAAAATTATATCTTGTTGATACTTGATAGACTAGTTTGAGAAGCTTATTTTGGTTATATATTTGATTTGTGAAATTTTATCTTCATAGTAAATAAATCTTCTCAGATTTAAAAATGATTATCAGTATATATAATCCTTGACATGAAAATTATAACTTTCCATGCAGTTCTGGTTTCTTTCCACAAAGCACTCTGTGATTAAGAATTGATCTAAAATGGAATTAATCTCATTTAGAAGATTTCAGTGAGGCAGCAAGTGAATTAGATTATTAAATTTTATATGCAATTAAACTTTTTTGAACTGCATGTATCCACTTGACTAAATGATTGTAAGCATATAAATACACTTTTTTGCCTATTTTATTAGATATTATTATTGTTTTCTAAAGCAACTAACATGAAGTATTAAATGAAATAGTAATTCAGAGACACTAGATATGCTTTAAATTATATTTTCTGATCATATAAATGAAATATAAAAGCTTCTTTTCTATAAAAGGATTTCTTGACAAAATTACTTCTACATAATATACTATAGTCATAATGAAATGAGCTTGGTTGATTTGTATGACATTAATGATTTCATTAATATATACATAACATTGTATCATGAATTACTTAAATTAAGTGTATGAAAAACGCATTCTAGGTTACCTACAATATCACCTTTGTTTTAGGTCCAAGTGCTCCACACATTTCCAATTTAACTTGCCCAACTCTGGATAGCCTCTTTCTGCAGTGGGAACGTCCTCAAAAGTATTATAACCAGATAGATTATTATTTTGTATACTATCGCTCCGAACATTCATGGAAGTTTGAAGAAATTGCATTGGAAGTTTCACATGACAGGATTGATCAATCAGTACAGTATTTTCTTTTATTTCATGGCTGTTAAAAAATTTGTTTGCATGTTGTACCTAAATACACATTTTTAATGATGTGAAAAAAGTTCAAATAGCATTTCATTAATTAAATATTAAGGATCTGATGATGCTAGGTATGTATGTTATATCACATATGTTGTATATGTTATTCATTGTAACTTATTAACTTACATTTTTACTTGGCTTGGTGATAGCCACTTCTACTTGAAGTATCTACTGTCCTGTGTATTCTTGTAAATAAATCTCTTTTCATTAGAGCGTTTTTTTTTTTCTAGTTTATACTCACTGAAATAATAAGTGATATGCCAGATATTCGTATTTTAGTCAATAAATAATACAATTAAATGAATAATTATTAGGTTAGCAACAAGCATAAAGAACCTGAATAATTGAGAATTATTTAATTCATTTGATTTAAGTGCATCCAAGCTTTTTAAAAGTTATATAATTCTAAATCAAATATTCATATTTGGATAATGTGACTTTGCTTTTTCATCTCATATTGATGTATGAAATTTGCCATCAATTGCCAGTTATATTTTTGAAATGTGTAATTTTAGTCATGCGTAAAAGTTCTTGTGAGAATAATCTAAATATAACTAGTTTTGAAGCCTCATTGAGGGAAAGCAAAAATCACACATGTAACTCTTTGGTCATGTGTAGCTACAGCTACTATAACGTTACTTTATGTTTTGATTTATTCCACCATGTTTGCTTCACTTATGGATAAACATGTGTTAATTTGTAGCTCTTAGTCTTTTTTCTTCCTGTATGCAATATATATATATACAGAGACACAAACACACACATGCACACACAACAAATAAATGCATCTAAAACCTATTCAGAAAATTGGGTTAGACTGATCTAGGTAAAAATTGTAGTTTCAGTAAAAAATGCATATTTTCATTTCCAGACAAGAGTAAATTATAACTCTTTTGTGTTTTTAAAGGCAGCACTTTTCCTAGAATTTATTAACAGAACAAGATTAAACAAGTGACTTGATACATTGTCATGGTTACTAGCCTACATGATCACCTAAGTCTAATCATTAATTAGTAACTAACTGACGACACTTGCATTTAGTCAACCTAGTATAGAAACCAACAAGACCTAGATTGATGCCCATTGTGAAAAACTTTCAAATATTAAATCTTAGTTGGTTCATATTTTAAATGACGACCCAGCCACTAATAACGCAGAAATAGTCTTTCTCAAGACTTCCTTGAAGAAAGCAGCCGATTAGCAGCCAAAACGTGTGATAAAAAGTAGTTAGTAATTAGTATCTAGTTATAAAATAGTTAATAATTAGACTATTGTTTGAGATCCAATTACCACAGGCTTACTATTAATACTTAGGTAACATGCTTACTTATCTTATCTATTAAAGAAGGCATCTGAAGAATGTATTTTCCCAGTTATTTCAGAGCATCTTCTACATGTGTGTGTGTGTGCATGTGTGTGAATATATATATATATTTATGTACAAGTTCTTTTAAAGTGTGTATTTTTTTTAATATAAGTGCCAAGCATAGTACATTAATATACATAGTTGTTGCATATTTCAGTTGGTCATTCCTAATCTAACAGCCAACACCATGTATGAAATAAAGGTTTGTGGAGCAACTCGAAGTATTATTGAGCCAAACAAACTGTATAAGGGTTATTTTTCTGACTCTCGAAAGGTGCTTCTCCTCAGCAAGTGTCAAAGTAAGTAGGTGTATATACAGTTTATTTCTTCTTTTATGATTCATATTAAATGGATTTTGTGAAGTTATAAAATATTGCCTTGCTTACCATTTTGTTTATATTTTTTGTCCAAGTCTACACGTGGTGATCTGGAATTTTTAAGAATCTCTAAGGTTTTCCTACCTATAGAGTTTGGACATAAATATATTGATGATGCTATATAATTGTTTTTAAATATCTTTAAGTAGTAAATAACTGTTACAACTAGAAATAAACTATGACACTGTTTACATATGAAGACTTTTGATAGTATCATCAAATCTCAGACTCCATTAGTTACAAATCTGTTCAATTTCTCATACATAATTATTACATATTAACAAGTAAAAATTTGTTCTAATTGGGCAGGTTGCTCGTTATTCTAGCAAGATTTATGGTTATCTTGATTAAAGCCACAGTCTGCTGAAGTGATTGAATGATTTAAGAATGTATTCAATACCCTTTCCGTTCTCCGCTGCATAATGTTCATCTACAATATGGTCAATGTGTATGACCTAAAAAGAAAGCTACAGTTAAGTCAGCATCTCAAGACAATTTCACATAATGTCTGAAGTGAGCATTTCACTCAGTCTTATGCTTGTTTCTTTAAGAATGGATAGAAAATTCAAATATAAACTCTTTATGAAATTGTTTATGGTTGAAATTTGTTAATAAATAATTTTTCAGTTACTTACATTTGGTACATCTTAGTATAACATTCATTGCTGAGACTGCTTCAGAAAAAAGTAGAGTAAGTAAAAAAATTGAGAAAAACAATTAAATACAAACAACAAAATTTGATTCTTCACCAATATTGCTTTAAAAGCAGTAATGTTAACTTAGTAATGAACTAAGGTTTTGATATTGAATTAAATAAACCTATGAAAAAGAAAGATCTACCTTTCAAACATTCTTGGGTTTTTAGTTTTGTAATTTCTTATTTTTCTATCCTATATGATATTTCTTTAGTATTTTCCTTGTAGATATGAGTGATTTATAGATAAAGGTAAAAAATGATTAACTATTATTTATCTTTTTTTATTTACTCAGAGTTCTTCTAAGTTTAAAACTACATATGTAAAGATCACATTTCTTCCTAAGCCATTTTTAAGTGGAAATTATACTTTGATGGCTAAGTTACAAAGACATTAAACCTCTAGATAATTCAGCTTATCACGTCTTATATTTTTTTTAAATGCTAAAAATAGTTTTTTTTTCTTTTTTAGCATTTACAAATTCTCCATTTGTGCAGTCAAATGTCAGTGCTGGTTTGATAGCTGGAGTTGTCTGTGCTTCATTTGCTTTTCTTTTGGCTATTGTGTCTATCACACTCTGGAGGTAAGGGCATATTAAAAGTATATTGTGTGAGAAAAATAACAATAACCTCATTAAGTTCACTAGAGCAAGAACTTTCTGGGCTAGCTGTGTAAATTAGATTTTACCCAGAAAACCCAAAAATTTCTCATGCATGAGTCTGGGCTTGAGACAAATAATCTGCTAACATGCTGAAAATAGTTGCAATCATAAGATATATCTAAGCTTTGAGTGGGTTCTTTCTCTTTTTTTGTATAGTAAAACCAGTTTTACATAGTTGGATCACATGATTTTCAGTCAGCAGATGGAAGATGAGTGGTAAATTAGTAGAGTGGGAAATAGCAATGTAACCAGGGAAGAAAGGTAGATTTGATTATGTGATTTTCAGTCAGTAGATAGTAGACAAGTGGGAAATAGAAAACTCTGTAACCAGGGAAGAAAGATAAATCTGTTGTTGTGATTTTAAGTTAGTAGATGGTAGATAAGTGAGAAATAGATAAGAAAGTAACCAGCCAAAAAACTAAATCTGTTTATGTGATTTTCAGTTAGTAGATAATAGCATGAGTGATAGATTAGTAGAATGGGAAATAGAAAACTCTGTAACCAGGGTCTTCTGAGAAAGGTAGATCTGATTAAATTTTTGAAATTATTTTACAGATTGGCTGATGGATGAATATCAGTAAATTTAAATAGACAACCTTAAAATGTTTATCTTGTTTCTTGTTCTATTTAATCACTTTGTTTATTTTGTAGTTGATTAACCCATTAACTGCGGCAGGAGCAGCTCGGTTGCCGTTTTCTGACTCACAGATAAAACTGAGTTGCCATCAATCACAATAAAATGGTAATTTTCATCATTCACATAGAGTTATATATGTGCGACTGACGGATATTTCCATCATTCGCAGCTGAGCCATAGAACTTCAATGACGGAAATATCTGTCATTCGCAGTTAATGGGTTAAAAAGAGTTGGCAAAATATATATCAAATTATACTAATTCTGAAATTTAAGTGTTGGTAGTGATATCATATTTAGATGTAGTCTTTGTGGTATACTATTTACAATTAATTCTTTTATTGTACTGATAATTAGTTTTTTGTTTTTTTTTTAAACAGAAAATATTTCCAGGTTGCGTATTATTACCTTGACGACCCCCCAGGCAATAGAGCCTCCCCTCAGTTATCTGATGCCTTTGGTAAGAACTAAAGCTGTAAAAAATCTTACCTTTCAACAATAAATAACATAAATTTATTGAGGCATTACATTATAGTTCTTATAATCTTAGCTAGATTATTATATAACATTAAATTTCTTAAATACTAATAACTACATTGGCCAGATGTAATATGCATGGTGCATTAATCTTTATGTCTGACAGTTCTGCTTCAGTTAATATCATGCAGATCCAACCTCATCAGATGTTCTTGGATTAAGGGCTGAAAACACCACTAGCAGCAAGAGTAACCAACTGATGACCTAGGGCAGAGTAGTCAAGAAGCTTTTTGTAGCTTGGCTGTTACTTATAATTAATACAAGTTTTATTGTAAAATTTTAGCAGCTCTTCATATTCTATTCTATTTTGGTTATACATAATTATCAAATATTGTTATATTGTTCTTCATGTCTTGAAAATACAAAAAGAACTGTTATAAATTACAGTGAAACATTAAATATTTTAAACAAAACACAGAGGTAAGTTTCAGAAAAAATCTTTATGTGCAAGTGTACTTTGTAACTGAACTAGAATTTCTACAGCTTCTATAAAAAACTAAGAACTATGACTGAGAAGATTTGAAATTCATGTTCCTCATATATAAACTAGTGTTATAACCAGTTTCAGTTTTTGGTATGTGATTCTTCTCACAAAAATAACAGACATGAGTCTGAGGCTTAGTGCACTCTAAGTCTCGATAGTTCACTTGGTTGGAAACCTGCTAGTTAACAGTAGTGTGAGTTTACTTGTTTTTTGTTCTCAGTTTTATAATGTATGAAAAAAATTATGAAAAAGGTATTTTTTGTATATGTTTACAATTTTTGCTTATATGTGATGATAGAAAAATGTGTATATGTTGGTAGCAAACACTAATAAATAACCTATTTTCATGTTTAGATGACTTAGATTATCCATCAATACCAGTTTACAAATTTGCCAAACATGTAGCAGACTTACACGCTGATGGAGACATAGGATTTTCTAGAGAATATGAAGTAAGTTTTCTCATTGTATTTTAAGAATAAAAATGTCAATATTTTAAGGTCAAGAGGTTAAAAAGAAACTGCATGAATTTGTTGCTTGTGCTTTGTCTAATGTGTATACTACTGTATTTTGTAAGGGAATAAATTTACAAGATTTATTGTCTTTTTTATAGCTTGAAACTCATTTTTGGGTAGTCAAGGATCCTCATTTGCGTGCAGTATAGGTGTTTGTTTTGTAACATGGTTTTTAATTTATAATGAATTGGGCTTATGCTTAGTTTCTAATTCTTACAAGAAAATTAAGTTTTCATTTGAAGGTGGGTAGATGTGGCCCAGTGGTTAGCATGCCAGACTTTGGATCTGAGGTTCCATGGTTTGTGTCATGTTACCGCAAAAAGAAAATCACATTCACCCTTTGAGGTCATAGATATGCTACAAGAGTAATGTTCAAATCCCACTATTCAAGCTGACAAGTATTGGCCAAGAGTTGGTGGTGGGTGGGCTGATTAGCTGCCTTCCCTATCATCTATCACAAAATACAACAAACAAACAAACAAAAAAATCATTTGAAAGTGAGTGCCATACCATAAAAACTTAGCTTTGAGTGTGTATTGGTTTTAAAAAATTAAAATTGTAGCTTGATCAAGTTATCATTTAAAGTGCTGTTTCTTCCTCTTTTTGTGTTGTTAAATTCTTTAAAAGATATTGTGTAGCTCTTTTGCTGCTATTCTAAGCCTGAAGTTTGGGAAGCTGCATTGTGTTGACACATGGATTTTTCTTATATGTTTCATTAGGAAATTGTTAGATGACACATGTGGTACAACTTTTTTGTTTTATTCCCAGTATGAATATCTGATAAAAGAATGGTGTTTACGTCTGGAATATGTTTCAGTAGAAAAACATGTATACTCTAATGTAGGCACAGTTTCATAAATAATATAGTATAAACTGCTAACTATCTGATATTATGTATGTAAATCTATTATAATACCATTTGGGATTATATATGAAGAGACATCTGTGCTTTTGAAATTAAAAACTAAGAGTCACAATGATACTGAACAGATTGCCACTTATTTTTGTTTCTTTCTCACTTTAAGCATTACTTAAGATGTGTTTTTTCTGTTTTAGTTAGACATGTGCAAACCATTTGGTTAGGGTTTCTCATCAAGCATCACAGGAATTTAAGTCACTCAGACTCACCTTCTCTCTTGTGACAGAAAATCAGATATTTATGTAGTCAAGCATAAGCATAAGTACTTTACTAATAATTAATTGAACTTCATGATTATTTCAATCATCTTAGTTGAAATATTCAAAGTTGAATTGAACTTATTGACTTTATTTAGTATTCTGTATTGAACCTAATGAACTACTTGTCTTTCTGGTTATTAACAATAATCAGATGCTACATTTTAAAGTTAACTTGCTTGTATAAAAGAGAACACATAACTGTGGAGAAGTGAGCAATATTTCTGAAAGAATTTTAGTTTTTCTATTCTTTTACTTAAGTTACTGTAATTGTAGTTATACATGTAAAGATATGTGTTAAAATATAATCAGTGAAAATGTATTAAGTTTGCTTTCAGAAGATCAAGTAGGCTAGATGTTTAAAATATAGAGAAATAGATTTTGAAACATATTTATTATTTAACTTCAGAAAGTCTAATTAAATTGGAAAATCTTGAATATGCTAATAACATTGAGGACAAATACAGTTATTTACATGATATGATACCAGGTTCTGGTTAAATTTACTCTTATAAAAATATAATACTGAAACTTTTTATAGATTGTCACTAATGCCCTAATAGGTTTGTAAATTATATTGTGTACAGTTAATGGCTGAAAATATTAAGTATTTGGATTGGATAATTTCATCAAATCTTAAAGTATCGTACTTTCCAACAACTTAAAGTCACACATGGTCTCTCACGAGTTATACCATGAACATTTTCGACATGTGTATGTACATCATATAGAGTATAATGCATGAAGAATGATATATAAAATAACACATAACATTAAAGTTCCTAACTTATTATGCTTAAAAATTGATATTTATGTTACAGATATTTTTAACTTGTCATTAACAAGTCATTGTCTGACTTAGATGATCCAACAGACAACTGACATCAACTTTTCCTCAGAATTCTCTCAATTGAATGAGAACAAAAACAAGAATAGATATGTCAACATCATGGCTTATGATCATACCAGAGTGGTACTGAAACCACTTCCTGGACAAAAGAAGTCTCCAGATTACATTAATGGAAATTATATTGATGTGAGTACATATACCTTCCATAGTAATATTTATTTTACAATATTTTGCTGTAATCAACTATGAATTCTTAACATTGATATAAATGTGTCTCCAGTGAATTCCATATCCCTAACAAGCAAGATTGATGATTTTCTTGGTTAAAGTAAGACACAAGTCTACTGAAGCTGTTGAACAATTTATGAACTTTCAGTACCTCTCCACATTGCCTATTCCTTTAAGAGTAGAAGGAAACCATAATTTCAAATTATTTATGAAACTTTTTTATTGTTAGAAATATGTTAAGAAAATAAGTTCTAAATTACTTATGTTTGTTACATATTTGTCTGACTTGTTCAAATTAACTTATGTTTTCATTTTAAGTTAGGCTATGTGATGGATGGATGAATGAATAGATAGATAAACAAAAATGACAATTTAAAAATTTTTTTTTCAGTAATGAATGCATGTGTGAACAGACAGGTAGATATAAGTGTTGAGGCATTAGAAATTGTTTCTTATGGTATGCAGTTGCATGTAAAATCATTTGGTAAATTATTTCTTTATGGCAACAGAATTTGAAAAAAGATATTTTGGTGTAACTTCAACATTAATTGACTATTTTGTAATTACATTTATATGTAACAAATTGGGTGATACATTTAGCCACTTGGTTTTTAAGTGGTTTAAACAAAAATCATTGAAATTCTTTTAATTAAGAATATTAAAAATAATTTAAAATGTGTGAAGCTGAATAAAGAATCATGTAAACCAGGGAGTTTAGCTAGAGCTCAAAATAGAAGAATTCTTTATCAGTAGAAAATCATTGTCAAGGAGGGTAAAAAACATTCTTACAGTTCTTCTACTTGTACAGTTGAGTTAACTATTTAATGTCTTTGTGCTTTTTGGCAAATTGTGCAAAATAAGCTCTGCTCTGTCAGCTGGCATGTTAGTCAAGTGGGCCTAGTTTAAATCATAATTGTCTTGGAAAAGGCTCATTGTTTTATACCCAGAGTAATGCAATTTTCTTCTAGTCATTATATTGGATATTTATAAAGTGAGTGTGTATTATCTATATGGTATTTACCCTGCAAAGTAATACTATTTTTTATTTTTTAACAAATCTGGAAGCAATACTAAACTTGTAGTTGTTGTACCTGATGATGCCAGGTTAACCTGGTGAAATTTTGTAACCATAGATATTATACTCTGTATATATGACAATAAACAAGTTTTAATTTTTACATAACAGGGTAAAGTGAGGGTTAATTCCAAACTGATGATTCATTGAGTTCCAACCATTATAAGTTTTGGTTTTATTGTGTATTGATTTGTTACATTAAGTACGTCTGGTTAGTTTGCTATACAAGATTAACCATATGTGTGCAGGTGGGGGTAAAAGAGTGCATACCATGACCTTTTACAGAGTGACATGGTATTATGTATTTGATGTCAGGGTTATTAACTGTTCATCTTACTTTAAATTGCTGATTTAGTGGCAGTTCCTGGTAGAGGTGAGTAAATACCAGATACAAAAAACTGTAGATATGCATTTCAGAGGTTCTAGATGTCATGCAAGTGCAATATGCAAACTATAAAATGGACAGAAGTATTTTTATTCTTCGCATGAACTTCATCTTACACTCAAATTGGCAGCGTGAAACAGACTGTAGTTGGAAATTCACAGACATATCTTAGTACAAATATGTTAGTAATACATCTGATTTTTTGTGTACAACAGACTTGTACATTTGACTAAAAGCTTGCCACATTTTGTGGAGATACATATACTAAATTCAGAATTATAGTCAACATTGGACTGACCCCATGCACATTTTGTTAATTGATTTCTTTCATCTTTCATCATAAAACTACTTTTTATATACGAACTTACTTTTGATCAGAAGCTCTTACAGTTGATTTCAAAATTATTTGATAAAAGCCAGGCTTCATAGTACTTGCATATAATTTGATTCTGTTATTTTATATATTTTTAACATATATAACCTGTTTTCCCTCCTTTAAATAAAATTAATTGATTCATAATATATCAGTATTGAAACATCTTTTATGCTCCATTATTTTTAGCAGTGTACTTCTGTATTTTTATGCAGAATGAAGAAAATAACTAAGTATATTAAAAAAACAAAATGAACATAATTAATATACATTAATGAATGTTTGAACATACATCTGTATGGAAAAATTACTACTGTTTTATAAGTGAAAAAAATGTTTAGATCTTAGGATTTTCACATAATTGTATTAGTTGCATGTTTGTTTGAGAATCGCTTGTGAGGTTCAGATTCAGTAATATTATAAAATTTTATTCTACTTAAAATGCGTAACAATAAACATTATTATATAACCATAGTAAAAGTCAATGTGTACTGAAATTTTTTATAACTGGATAAAAAATAACTATTTTCTTAAATATTAATGAAATGTTACAAATTTTATCAGTCTGTATGTAATTTATTATAAATTTCTCATCTGTGATTCTTTAACCCTCTTAACTTTCCAGTTTTAAGTTCTGGAATAATCTGTGAAGAAAGTGTGTCCTTCTTATAAATACATTTTATATATTGTGTCTTGTATAGGGTTATGGAAAGTCAAGGGCTTATATTGGAACTCAGGGACCATTGCCATCTACATTTGATGATTACTGGCAGATGATTTGGGAACAGCGGGTCTACATTATTGTTATGATCACAAACCTTGTGGAAAGAGGAAGGGTAAGTAAATTAATTGTAAAACTTGCATTTTAAATAATTAGATTAGCAAAATAAGTATATTGTTAAAAAATTCAGAGAATTGTAGGTGAACTTAGTTCTAATGTTGTTTTCTTTATTTATGCTAGTTTTTGTTTTCATTTTGTTATATTTATTTATTTATTTTGCTTTTTTTTAAGGTTTCTGTCAGAGATTGATAATACCTATCTGAAGACATCAAATAAAAACAGTGAAGTAGTTAAGAAATCAAATTGTTTACATTCACTCTTTAAATTTCGTTTAGAAAGTTTATTTCAAAGTCAAAACATGTCAATTTTGATATATTTTTCAAGTTGTAAATTCTTGATATTTACTTTTTGAAGGCTTCCATATACATTTATTTATATATGGTCAAAGAATAAAACATAATATCTTCAAAACAGTGAGATATTACTATTCTCACCAACAAATTTTTTACACTCTAACAATTTTTTTTATTTATCATAATTGAAATAAGTTTTCTACAATACGTAAATTGCAATTTATATTCTCATGTTACATTTTTATTTACAGGTTGAATTTCACTAATTTGTTTTATAGAAATACTAATAGTTAATGTATTTCAATTCTTATGAATTGTGAATGTTGGTTAACTTGGGTCTGTTTGCTTTGCTTCATTTCAATCTCAAGGAAACTTACTGGCCTCTTCAAGAGAACTGTATGTTTTACTTGTTTCACTACATACAGGTTTAGCCAACATGAATCAGTGGTTAACATGCCATACTGAGTCTCTGCAGTTCACTTTCCATTACCACAAAAAAAAATGTGTTTTGCACATTTAGAGATGTGGGTGTATTATAAGAGTGATGGTCAAATTCCACTGTTCATTGTGATAAGATTCACCTTAAGAGTTAGCAGTGGGTGGTGGTGACTAGCTGCTTTACTTCAAAATTAGGGACTGCTAGCACAAATAGCGCTCTTGTATCTTTACACAAAATCCAACAAAGCAACCAAACAAACATTCAGATTTTCCATGTCAATAATCCTTAGTGCTGAAAAAATACACCACTTCAAAGTTCTTTGAACTAAGGTGACTTTTATAAAGGTTTTAAGAAAGGTTTGATTCTCTTCCGAGTCAGCTTCTGTTCACTCTTGGACATCTGTGGCACTTCCTGCTTTTAGATTTAGAATTTCTGTGTCTTTGTGTTCTGGATTTGTCATTTTGATAAATGTTATTTTTTTTTACATAATGGTATCTTCTAGGTACTTAATACTGTCTTTTATTTCACTCCTTGTGAAATCAGTTATTTAAGTAACACTTTCATGTTAACTGATCTGTAATTTGAACCAAGCTTCCAATGTTTACAAGTTCTTATTCTTAGATACATTCAGAAATGGCCCTAGCTTCACATTGTATGTTAAAGACATAAATAAATAACTATAATGAAATACCCAATAAATCATCTGCTACAAAATTTTCCAACTTTGTCACCATTGAGCTCTAAATTGTTATTTTTCTGTTTCACTAGATATCAAATTGCCATTCTTATTCAAAACAATATAATATATTTCATGAACTTCTTGTATTTTATTTTTTCATCTTCTTATTAGTACATGTCATGTACGTTTTTTTGTAATTTGAGATAAAATATCCATTTAATGTTCAAACAAACGTGATTTAATAATCATAAAACCATGGGTAGAATTATTTATTATAGATCTTGCTAGCACTTCAAGATATGGCTTTTGAATGTATAATCAGCAGTTAGTTCTATCTTTTTCCACTATTCTCAAATTGTGTTAAGCATTAGACATCTAAATATGAATAAATAAAGTATATTAAGGCAACAATTGGTAATATTTCAAAAAAAAGTTTATTTAATACTTAATGGTTAATTTTGTACAAAGTTATATTTGGCAAATATTACGCCTTATAAAGTAAAACTGCTAAACATAATGTCATCTTAATTTTTATCAAATATATTTCAGCTTAAAGAGCTCATTCTGAATATCATTTTGTGTCTGTATTAGTCGATTGAACATGAATGTATGATAAAATGGCTAGAAAAACAGTGTATAATTAACAAATAAAACAAGATATAAATATGTATTGAGTAATATTTTTCATGTGTTGGAGTTTGGAATGTTTTTCCCAGCCCCATTTTCCAAAAAAAAATATATATAAGAAAAAATTATTTATTTTAAAACCATTTTCTACATTATTTTTTATCTTGCTAAAAACTTGTTATGTTAGATGAAAATCTCTTGTTTGGTATAATTATTGAACACATGCTCAAGTAATTCTTTTGAAAAATTTCCAATTAAGACTTTTATCACAGCAATTACCTAGTAGCAAATTCATCAGTTTTTCCTTACATGACTTACACTTGTTCATCCAGATTTATTTATTATAATCAGTTGATTAATGTTAAAAAACATACATAAATTGATAATATAGTTTTAATCTGTTTCACATTCACAAATGGTAATTTAGTAGTCTCAATTTCACATATGCTAGATAATTATATCTTAAAAACTACTGCTTCTTGATGAATAAAACTTCACAATAGGCACATTGCAAATACTACATTTTATTCAGTAAAGTTTGAACATGGTATATCTTGTTTTAAAAACTGTCTTAATAGTGTTCAGTATGCTTTCCATCATTTTAGATCAGCATATCAAACCTCTCTCTAAATGACTCTATGACTAGCATCATCTGTTCTGAACAGCATTCATTGATCCTCACAATAATAGATACTAAGGTAGCAATGAAACTATGAATGCTATGACAGAATCTTTTATTCTCAATGTTTCAATTACAAGTCTTCTTCAGGAGATTATGACACCACGGTACTTTACAAGGATATTTATAAAAATATTCCTGGATTAAGTTCCTGGTCATTTCACCTTGCTGCATCTTGATTGGTCCGTTATCGCCATCTGTCAACCACCACCTGACCAATCAGCATTCTTCTGTCGTTTCACCAGGCTTGCAGTTGCTTCCACCCACTTGTAGACTCCCACTGCGGTGTTTAAGTTCTTTTCTAGTAAGATGTAAGCAGCCTCCATTTCTTTCCTCTGTTGTTTTTTCCATTCCTTTACTGATGATTTTAGTTTCCTTCCATTTAGGCAGGTGCCCTGCTTTCTCTGCATGTGCTGCTGTCATGTTGGTTTTGTTGTGTCTTCTGACATCTGCTTTGTGTTCATTTAGTCTTGTTGTCAGTAATGAAAAAAAAACAACAGAGGAAAGCATATGGAGGCTGCTTACATCTTACTAGAAAAGAAGTTAAACATCACAGCCAGGAGTCTACAAGTGGGTGAAAGTGGCTGTAAACCTGGTGAAATGAAAGCAGAATGCTGATTGGTCAGGTGGTGGTTGACAGACACTGATAGTGGATCAATCAAGGTGCGGCAAGGCAAAGCAACCAAGAACTTAATCTGGGAAACTTGTAAGGCATCACGGTGTCATAATATCCTGAAGAAGACTTGTATTCAAAACGTGGAGAATAAAAAATCCTGTCATAGCGTTCATAGTCTCATTGCTACCTTGGTATCCATGAATAATACTCACAATAATACTTCACATTAAAACACATTTTATCCACAATTTAAGAAGAGAAATAAAAACAGTGTTAGTTGAAAAAAAAAGCAATTTAGGTATGCAGTATAATATGGTTTGTAAACCCCTTATACCACATCCAAATCTCTTGAATTAAACTTTAATTCTAAATGTGCTTCTGATGAAATTTTGTTCATCTAGGGCAAGATATAATCATAAAGCTTTCTTTATAATTACCCTACAGATAAGTAAAAACAAAAAAAGATTATACCAGTCGATTGGCAGCTCTTCTTAAAATTCCTCAGACAGATGAAAAAGCTTTTAATAGAAATTTTACAGTAGTATTAACAGCTACACTAGGTAAATCATTGAAGAATATGTGATTGATTGATGTTTAAATGTGCAAGTGTAAAGGTGGTGTATACTGGTTTATAGAGTAAAGAGAATTGATAGTCTTGATCCATTATTTTTTTTAGTATTTAATAGTAAGACGAGGGAATGCAAATATAAATTTGTCACAGTAGGAGTCATCTTTAGCTATGGTAGCTTTAGTTTTCTAACAGTGTAATTGGTCATTGAGATAGGTTGCCTTCAGATGTGGTAGATGCAGTTCGTTTAAGGAAAAGCTTGATAAATATTTGAATGATAAAGGCTGATTTTTAGTGTTTTACTTATATCTTAGAGTTAAATATAGTTGATGGGATGGCCTAGATGGAGCAACATGTCCCTTGATGTCCTTAAGTTATATGTACACACACATACACACATTCTCTGTAGACTGACATTTATGAAGCTGTAGTTCTTTTAGTCTACATTTGTAATTAAGACAAAATAATATTTTTTAATAGGTAGAAGAAAATTTATAAAAAGTTACTATGCAATGCATGTACAATATAAGTATTGCTGGAAAAAGTTTAAATCCACTTGGAACTATAGGCATTTTTCATTAATCAACAGAAAATTAAGTAAATATAGAAAAACCTAAGTATTAGTTATCGTACATAATTATTTTGAGATTCTTCACAAAATGAGATCAGCACTGTCTATATCATTGTAATGATAATGGAGCTTCTATAAAAATCTTTCATTTATGTACACACACACAAATAATCTAGTAATCAAAACTTAACACAGCTCTCTGCTGTCATCAACAATAACTGTATCTCTCAATAGAATAACTGTAAAACATAAATTCCATACTGTATTACACAATTCAGTTTAATAAAATGTCAAATGAGATTATCCAGTACTAATTCCTAGACTTGCAATATAAAGAGTGACTTATGTGAAATACTGATAGTTTTAATTTAAATAAGTGATATACCTCACATACCGTATTTTATTATTATTTTGTAGATATAACTTAATTTAGTATGGTGTTTTGTGAAGGTAAAATTCTATAGGTTTCTTTAGAAAAAATTTAAATAATCTAAACCTTAATATGTTGGAAACCAATTTACATTCAAACTTTTGTAGAATTTAAGCTAAAACCTTAGTCAAATTTTATTAGTGTTTCTTATTCTTGTTTTACTTAGACTTGTAAATCTGTCATATTCTCCACATTTAGAAAGTTTCTTAGAAACATAATAATGAGTTTATAGCATAAAATATCAGTGAATGATTTTGTAAAAATAATTAGTTCTTTTGATATATTAATGATATTAATAAATTACATAGGACAAAAAAATATAATGTAACTTGAGTACTTTCAGAAGGTAGATCTTATACAAAGTGGATAAAAAATGTATATGTTATTTTAAAGTTCTCTTGAGCCAAATTTTAGACTATAGAAAGGACTAAACATTTAACATGTCTACATTCTCACTTAAAGCTAAAGGTGCAAGCCTAATGAAGTAATTAAACAAATGAATAGTTTATTAAAGGCCTCCATTTTAAAGTATGTGATGCCTACTTGTGTAATAGACACTAACCCCCTTTTAAAATGCTGAAAACTGCAAGAGATGATTTCAAAATATATCACATAATACCTCAAATGAACAATACCTTTCTCAGCCTTGCACCCATGGCTTTAAAGTACTTTCTATTCTTTATCTTATAGTAAAATAAGGCATCTTAGTAGATTGCTAATGTAGATAGAATTCTAGCAAGTTCAAACTGATTAGGCATGTTATTTTGCTCTCTTGCATGCTCAGCCTTGCACTTCTGATTTGGAAGACACCGTAAGTATGATATACTACCTATTTCCTTCTTTTTCGTCCTTTGAAAGTTCTGGTTTAGTTTCTGTCGAACCCATTTTCTTTTATTCTTGTCTTTTCTTATGTCAACTTCTTATTTAGTTATGGCTTTGTCTCTTTCTTCTGTTTTTATTTAGAGAAAAAAACTTTTAAGTATCATGTGATAGATCATACAGTGTAAATTTCTTTAACACATAATAAGATTACTTAATGAATAGTTTAACTATTAACATTTAATGTATATAGAATTTGAATTGTGAACTTGTATGATAGAAAATATTTAAAAATTAAAATGATATAGTTGTTAAAGCCTAAGTAAATATTTGTACAAAAAAAAATTCAATCCTGTAGGCATATTGAACTTTTTTAAGAAAATAATTATATGTAAAATACTTAGTAATTTTAATTCAGGATAATTTTAATAGTGCCAAATCAGTATTTCATGTGTGTATATCAGTACTATTTTTTTTTTTTAATGACAAGAAGATACAGAGGTTAAGTATGTTATATCAAAAGAATTTTGAAGTTTTACTAGGTCATTAAAATACATTGTTCCACACCCAGACATGCTCTATACGATGTCCATCCATATTGACGATAGCCCTGTAGCATATTTTCCATTGCAAAAGGCTCTAGTGTAAGGCTGTGATGTCCAAAGCACACCACTCCTCCCTACATGTGCTACATAATCCATATAGTGTACAGGAAAATAGTTTCCAAGTGCCTGTTTAAACAGTTCAGTTGCACAGAAATCCATAGACACTGTGTCTGGCAAATTGACTGTTATATCTTCATGTGGAATAGCATGATTATCTGTTCTATTCTCCAACTGCTTGAAGCACACAACAGTTGAATGATATATCATGGAAGCAACTTTTTTATGCATGTGTTGCTTTTCCAGACAGAAATCCTTCTTGATTATATTGTTTCTTTTGCCTGGGGCAATTGAACAGCTTTTGTCACTTTCCTTTGTGTTTATGGATTCTCACCTGTTACTAAGACATTGTTTATCACAACTGGAGTACAATTTGTTGTAGGTCTCTTTCTGGATAGTCCTTGTGTCTCAAGTTGATCCATACTCTACATCTTCAGTCTAAACATATCTTTAAGATTTGAGTGTATGAATATTTTGCATCCAAAAAGGATGTTACATACACTTCCAAAAAGTGATCAATTTTTGATGGCATCACATTACCTATGAAAGGTCAAAATATAGTTCTGTTACATGCAGCTCCACCATTATTTTATACCATTTAATATAACATACTTTATCCTCTGAAATTGATTTAATTACTAATTAATAGTACTGATAAATTGTTGGAGTTGAAATCTTCAATTTTATAGTATACCGATTCTGAGCTTAATTCTGCTAGATTTTGAACAGTTTGAAATTTAGAGTTCAAACTTTTAACTTAACTTAGGCTGTATGAGAGTGTTTAAAAATAGTGTTGTGTCAAATAGATTGAATGGTGCCATGCTTTATCTTTTTTTTGCTTTTGAATATGTGACCAACTTGTGCCACACAGGTCATTGTTTAACATACTCTATAACCGTTGGAACAGTTTCTAGATCAGCTAGGGTGTACAATATCTAAGTATAAATTTGCTAAAAATAAAAAATTACAAAAATTATGAAACAGCTGAACATCTCATACTAAACAAAAAAATGGAAAAATATTCTACACTAGTCTCAAGTTTTAATTTTCATACATTCATTTACTTCAAGTAAAACAGGCACAGACTAATAGCAGAATGGATTAATATACTGGTAGAAACATATGTGAATCTTAATACTTGTCTCAAATATGTAATACAAAATCTAATAGGTGTACTACTAGCATATAATATGGGAACTATATAAACATTTAAAATTAAACAACTGTGATTTTACACTAGTTTCATGTTTGTTTGTTTTTTAAATCCAATGGGAGCAAACAGTATTGTATAAATGAAATAACCAGACTGTTACAATTTATATAGATCATTGATGAAATGCATCATGATATAGTTAGAACACTGTTGCTTAAAAGCAAGAATTCTATGTGGTATAAGTGTTGGAGTGTTTCCTTATATCAAGTAATTAATTACTTATCCCTAAAACTAGCCCCCTGGTGTGTCAGCAATATGTCTGAGGTCGTATAACGTCAAAAATCAGGTTTCTCAAAACCCGCAGTGGGCAGAGCACAGATAGCCCACTATATAGCTTTGTGCTTAATAATAAACATAAAAATCCTAAAATTATGTTATTAACTAAACCTAGACAGACAAATCAAATAAAATGTATTTTTTATCATATATACATATATATATTTAAGGATCTGTGAGAAGATGAGAAAAATATTCATTTGTATGATTTATTGTACTTTTATGGTTATATTTGCCAATATACTTATCAAGTAAGTTTTTGTTTTAAATTTTGCTTGGCAGTTTATTCTAAGGGGGTAACATTTTCATCTGTGATTCTCCATGGAAATATTTGACAGTTATTTGGCTATAAGAACTTGGAACAAAAAAAAGTTACAATGTTTTCGTGAAATTATAGATTACAGAACTTTGTGAAGAGAAACAACCACTATCCAATGAAAATTCTTTATTTCCTCAATGTTTTGTCTTATGCCTTTATCAAAAGGTAGACACCCTTGTTAGTGTATTAAGACAAGTTTGTGTTCAGGAGTGTCTACCTTTTTGTAAAACCATAAGGTGAAACGTTAAGAAAATAATGAATTTTCACTGGATACTGTCTGCTACACTATGCTACCTGAATACTTCTAGATTACATAATTTTTTGGAAGAGTTGACTACTGTGATTTTTTACATTTGCAGCAGGTACTGTATTGTTAATTGTTCAGAATACAGAAAGTCTGTATATCATAAAACTCTCTGTAAATCCAAAATACTAAATTGGAAACCATAATTAGTGATATCCATCAAGTAGAATGAAAAATTACTAGGTGTAACTAAAAATCAAATATATAGTTTGTAAAATATCCTTATATATATTATAGGTATAAATGTGCCATGCAGTGGTAGAATTATTAACTACAATTTTGATTAAAACATGCTTGTATCTCCTACAATATAAAAATGTCTGATAATTGCTCATGTTACTTGAAACATTTAATATTTTTGCTTAGTTTGAAACATATATTTTCATAACAGCGGATAATTTCAGACATAATAATTATTGTCTTTTGTATTTTTTGCACACAGTCCTATAAATAGATAACCGACATCACCCATCTTTTTTTTTTTCTTTATTTGATTACTATTACTTTGTCTTGGTAAAAAAGTGAGCTATTTCACATAGTACATTTTATTTTTTTAACTAAGTTTGTTTATTTGATACATAAATTTTTGTTTTAGTGTAGATTATTTTGTTTGTTTGTTTTTGGCTAGCCTTTCTTATATACTTATTACCTGTTTTAAAAGTTTGTTTTGTATTTATTATTCTCCAGAGAAAATGTGACATGTACTGGCCCAAAGAAGGAATGGAAACATATGGTGTAATTCAAGTTAAGTTACTTCATGAGTTGGTAATGGCAACTTATACACTTCGAACTTTCAACGTGCGAAATGTTAAAATCAAGAAGGTAGGTTTTAGAAGTATATTTCAGAAACATTCTTATATAAGGTAAAGTTATAATTCAAAGAGAAACTGGGATTTTTATTAAATTATTAACAAAGTAAATTATTCAGCTTGTATGAGCATCTGTAAAGTGTGAAGTCACACAGTGTCCATTATATGGTGCTCATGGATGTTGTAACTTCAAGTAATTTAATCTATGTTTAGATGGTAGAAACAGTGTGAAAGAATAAAAATGATATTTTAAATTTACACCAAACCATAAAACAACTAATTATGGCAGAGTCAATGTACTTTGTCACAAAATCAGTTTGAGTAAAATAATGTGATTAAGAAAAAAATATTTTGGATTTTATTTCAATATTTCTTTGTTAATGATAATATCCTATTAGTCCATAACAATCATCACATAATGGAAATGTGTATAATAGATTTTATGTATTCTTTAAATTTGAGTTCAGGAGTTCAGACAGTGGTCACCATAAGGTTCAAATGTTGTCTTACTCCTCACAGAAAAATAATCATTATTACTGTAGTGTTAATACAGTGTCATTGCTTAACTTTAGTAAAACTACATTATTTTTGTACCATTACATATTTACTTTTACAGTCATAGAACTGTATTTTTTTTATCAGTATCATAAACTATTGAAGGAAACAGAAAACAAACATGTACCTTCATGATTGCAATAAAGCTACTATTCATAAATTCATGGTCCAAATAAATTTGCAGTTAGTAAGTTAAAAATAAAGTTAACTTAAAATAAACTATAGTAGGAGTGAAGCAGTTCTTTGGTAAAACTGTAATAATGTTTCAGTAAAGTGAAATTACAGTTAAAATACAGTAACATTGTGGTAAATAGAAGTGCAGTAAAACTTTAGTGAAATCTTAACGTAAAATATTAATTAATAAGCAGTTCTGAACTACAAATAATTGTAGTAAGGTACTGGTATTTATTCAAGTAAAACTGGAGTAGATTTTTGTAAGGGATTCTATGGCTACTTCTCACTATCATAGTATTTCCTGGTTCCTCTGAGTATATAGGTAATGGTCTTTTTCTTTTTGGCTCTTTATTGCTAACAACAGAAACACTATGCAGACAGAACTGTGTTACAGTACCACTATACCAATTGGCCTGACCATGGTGTTCCCGATCACCCTTTGCCTGTTCTGAGCTTTATTCAGAAGTCATCTTCAGCTAATCCTTCAGATGGTGGCCCCATTGTAGTCCACTGCAGGTAAGAATACACAAAATTTTTCCAAAACTTTCTTCAGTTTCTGCACATTAATGTTATTAAAATAATTTTTTTTAGTATCTTTAATTTTCTACAATTTTATTTCAGTGTTTTTGTTTGGTAGTCAAAACTAGGTATGTGAAACTTTAATAGATACCATTCCAACAATTATTTTATGGAAATGTTCACAAAAGTTGAACTATTTATACAATGAAATAGGTTAGTAACTAAACTTAACCTTTCTATTAAAACTGCTGTCATCTCCTGGTGTTATCTCAGTGGCTTAATGGCAAGTCTGAAGGATTATAATACTGAAAGCTGGGATTCACTACCCATGATGAACAGAGAACGGTTAGCTCATTGTGTAGCTTTGTGCTTAACAACAAACAAACTCTCCTTATCCTACTTGACATAAAATGCAAGCATAATGTCAGTATTTATTATGGGATGTCATTTTGTAAACCATATATAAGAGTGATTAAACATACCTTATTTATTAAAACTTTCTTGCTCTTCAGGAATTGTTATGAATTTAAAATACAAGGAAACATTATAGCATGTTTAGTTTTTATGCTATATTTTTGTTTTATAAATGTTACTATGTACACTGTACACTTTTTTCAAGCTGGTGTTGTCTAATAAGGTGTGCATTCTAATATGTTTATTCTGTTGAAGTGCTGGTGTTGGGCGAACAGGAACCTACATTGTTATTGATGCAATGTTGAAACAGATTAAACATCAACAAACAGTGAATATTTATGGTTTTCTAACCCATATTAGACAACAGAGGAACTATTTGGTGCAAACTGAGGTAAGTTTTCTACACATTTTTTCACAAATAATATTATTTGAGAAGGATTAAGTTTAGTATTTGTTTCCACTTATCCACATCCCTTAATTAAAATAGATTGAAATCAAGACTTATTCACACATTCATATTCATATTGAAATAAACTGAGATTATGACACGAAGTCAAAGGTTATGATAGCGTTACACATAGTTTGAGGTTGCTTTGTATATATTAGATTCTATTGGCAAAATGTCCATGTACATCATTAAATTGTCTTTTTTCAACATACAGTGTATTTCAAGCTTGTACTTTCTATAATGTAAAACAAACTAATCTCGCAATGTATAGAATAATTTTCTTAATTTTTTAATAAACAATTATAAATTGCTAGATTAGATATTATTATTCTGATTTTTTTGTTAATAATTACATATTTTCATGTGACTTTTTGGACCCTGATAAGTAGCCTGGAAGATAAGTATGTAATTCTGCTTTATGGCTGTAGTTATGCACTTTAGATGTGTGTCTTCAGTTGTTACTTGCAACAATAGGTGTTTACATTTGTCAGAAGGAAAACTGCTGACTATGCAAAATTTAGGGTTTAACTTATTTTACATTTATTTATTTTTTTTCAGGAACAATATGTTTTTATCCATGAGGCCATACAAGAGGCCATTGAGAGTGGAGAAACAGAAGTTTTAAGTCATAACATGCAGGCATATATCCTGTCTTTACTGACAATAGAGGGTGCTGATGGAGAGAAGGGTTACTGTCCACTTATAGAAAAACAGTTTAAGGTGGGGTTTTTTGAAGATAATCAATAAGCTGATGTTTCTAATTAAAACAGTCCATTAAATACAGTTTCTAACTGATTTACAAATTATTATTCATACTGTAAGCTTACGTGACATTGACATCTATACCTATATATTACATTGCACTCACTAATCACCACCCCTTATTCTCCTGAGGAATAGTCAGCTATTCAAAAGTGCTTGAGTTTGGGGGTCTCTTTTTGAAATTCATTATAATTAAACAGCTTCAGTTAATAGTTTCTAAATAATTTTATTCCAAGTGAAAAATCATTATAACTTGATAAAAAGGGGCGCTTATAAAAATGTTTCTTTTTGCCATTGAAATTAGCCTGATCATTGTATTATTAGTAATTGCACTTGAGATAAAATACTTGTTGTAAACCTGTTTGTATCTTTGTTCTCATTTTATACAATATTTATTCATTTCTAACAACTAAGTTAGTTTATGGTTTTATATATTTTGGTACGTTAATGACAAAATGAAACAAACAGAAATTATATTGCCTACAGTTTAGTAATTTTGTTAATTTTAAAAGAATTCTGAGATAAGGTTTTTTTTATGATATGGAATTTTTCCATCATAAATTTGGTTAACTACTTGATATGAAATAAAATGGATCCTTTGTAGCTCAGTAATAATTTTGAGAGACTATAACACTAAAATTTAGGTTTAATCCTTATAGTAGGGTACAGCACACTGTGCAACTCTGTGCTGAACAAAAACTAACAAAATGAAACAAACTAACAAGGATTTTACTATCAATTCGTTCTTTCACATATAAGGTTATAACTGTTAAATAATCAGCTACTGTTTTACTTAATTCTTTCATTTTGTTTGACAAATATGTTTTGTATGACATTGAGAAAAAAGTGTTAGCTCTAGGCTTAAAGTTAATATTCTTAACAAACTGAGATTTGAAGATTATTTTGTTAAATTTGAACAGTTTTTAGAAAAATTATATCAAATGATTTGGGAGAATTTCGATTTAGTTCTTACTTGTTTTAATAATTACAACTAGGAATATAAACATTTCTTTATCTTAAATGCTAACTAATATTTTTTGAGTAATTTTCTTATTATTTCAAAAATTATAATGATTCTTAATCATTGTCCATTAGACTAATGTGTTATTGTTTCACTATTATAGATTATAAAGACTGTAGATTCATAGCAATTTTGTGTAATTCAATAATGTTTGTGATGATTGTGAAATTATCCTGTCTTGCTCCTTAACCTGTATGAAACCATATGTGTATATTTGTATTTAACTTGAGAGTTTTGTTGAAGATTATTATTGGATTTTGTGCATTATCTAGAGTTTTTTTGTATTATTTTTTTATTTGTGGAATAAAACATTTTTAAAAACTTTTTTGTTTTCTTTGTGTGCATGATCTAGTTAAAATGCTATGTCATATATTTTTTTTCTATAATTTAAAATGTTTAAAATATAAATGTTTATTTAAAATGTGGACTCTGTGAGATTCAATAGGAATAAGGTTGAGGGATCGGTTCTTTCCTTTGTTACATGGCTTCAAAGCAGAAACAACGTTGAAATCTTTGGCTCGGAAAGAGGTCACCAGCTGCATAACTCCAAAACCTGGAACAGATGGATCAGACTATATCAATGCTACTTTTCTTATGGTAATGTCTGATTTTGTTTGTATAAAAACAAGTGTTTCATTTGTTAGTAATTAACAGGAAGAAAAATATTTAGATTATTAAGTCACGTTCCATTAAAAAAATGGCTCATTTATATGTATTATAGAGAAATAGATAACAATCTGGTCTTATCACCAAATATAAGACCTTTTATTTATATATAAGAATGTATGTGTTATTTCTTTATTGTAGGATTATACTGCGTCTCATCTTTGCAGCTATGGTGCTATAATAACATTCATTTGTATGACTCAAGTTTTATTATGTTAGTCCTTTTGCTAGTATATTTTATAGAACTTTCTTCTGTTCTTGTCTAGAAATTAAAATCTATCTTTATCATTTTTCCATACCACTGAAATCTTACTCAATAAATTCATTATTGTATTTCAAAAAAAGGTTTGATACTTTAATTGATGTAACATCTCTATTCTTACTGCTGTCTTATAAACCAAAATTTTCAAACCTTACACTAATCATCATTATTAGAAAAGCATCTAAATGTATAGGACATATAATAAACATCAAACTGATGCTAAAGATTGTTGGCTCGAAGTTCTAATTCTTAAGGTATTTCATTCAAGATAGGCCATAATGTACATATAATAGAAGTTGTCTGGTAACTTTACCATTTGGTTTTTATTTACAGGGCTTCAATAAGATGAGAGAGTTTATTGTAACCCAACACCCTACATATGACACAGTGATTGACTTTTGGCAGATGGTTTGGGATCACAACACCCAAACAATAGTGCTTTTATCATATATAGATGAAAATGTAAGTTCAGTTAAACAAATAAAATAAATTGTTGTTTGATTACTAATCCACTAATTATGTTAGTTTTTATTTTTCAGTCAATTATATTCATTAAAAATAATCCAACAGTAAGTAGATGTAAATTTTTTGAATCAGAATTTTGTGCAAAAGACAAACTAAGTGAAGTGAATGAAGCACATGTAAAAGAAAAGATCAGCTGACAAAAATAAGTAAGAAATATATGCAGACAGCATTAAAATACAGCTGAAATATATAATAATTGTGTGAAACAACAACATTGGAGTATGGTATACCTGGAATTCTCATTTAGCTTGTTTTCTAGTTTCACCTATTTTGAATAACTAAAAGGATGGATAATGTAATACAAGGTAGAGTTTTATATTAAAATGATTCTGAATAAGCAAGTAAGCAAGTCATGTGACAACCACAGCTGATATAAAGTTGTAGTGGAGCAGAATGTATCAAAACTACGTTTTGACATTGTTTTGTGATCATTTTTATGAAAGAAATGTAACATCCCTTTCCAAGGCAAAATATTCATACACTTAGATCATGACAATGTTTTCAGATTGGGGATTTAGAATTTCAAACAAGGGAATATCCCTTGAACATAATGGAATTTGACAACAAAATAATATGGATCAATGTGGGTGCAAAGACCATCTAGAAAGAGACCTGCAACAAATCTTATCCCACACCCATCAAAGGCAATAGCCATCCACATGTTCCAGGCAACAGTACACAACATAAGCAAGTTACTTCCATGACATATTCATTCAACCATCACATATCTTAAACAGCTGAAGAATGAAAGATATTCATGCTATTCCTAACAAAGGCATAATGATCAAGGTGCCAGAGGCAGTGACTGTGTATTCCTGTGTGTTCAGATTGTTGAAACCATCATCCTCATACACTTGATATATTATGAAAAGCCTGTATGGAGAAGTAATGTGCTTTGAACATGACAGCCTTCTAAATTGGACATCTTGCTACAGGGCTATTGTCAAAATGCAATCATCATATAGAGCATGGCCAGATATGGCTGCATGGATAGGCTCCAAAATTGTTTTAATATAATGTACTCAACCCTCTGTACACCTGCTGTAGTAGTTGAATGATTCACTTTAGTGTAAGATGTATTTTGAGATATAGTTTCAATTATAAAACTGTAGTTGTATATTTTATATTTTACTTTATTTAAGAAACTAACAACTGAATTTTAAACTAAAAACTATAATTAGCAATATTTTGGTAGTAATTGTGTCTTATAGGTTCAATAACACAATTGCCAGGAAGCATAATTTCAAAAGTTAGCAATCACTAATGCATTAAGGTTTCCGCTTTAACATATGTGTATTGTATAATCTCTTTCATTGAAGAAATCAAACTTTATCTAGAATTTCAATTCTTTATGGCAAGAGAGGCGCTACTGTTGTGTTCCTAGCCTTTGTCTGGTGTTACATATAGTTCATCAACACTCACTGAAACCTTCACATACATAAATATGCAAAATGTTAGTTTAAAGCTTGTTAACCTTGCATTAAAAATGATGCTTTTACTTCTAATGTAATATTATACTTGTGAATGCAGTGAAGGTATCGTGTAAGAAAACTGCTGCTTAAAACTTGCATACTGAGATGTGACTCATAAAGCATCACATTAAAATTCATTCACCACAGGGCAATAGAATTCTTTTAAAATTTTCCAAGGAATACATAATATACAATTTTTTCATTGATTCATCACATTTCTCCAAGAGTTTTAACAATGATTGACAATTTCTGTATTCAATCGCCAGATGTAGGGATTATTAAGCAGGTGTATGATAATTCTGATTTTTGTGTACATATTGGTACATTAATACATATGAATTGTTTAATTAGTCTTAAAAGAAGTAAATGAAGACTTGCTTTAGCACTGATTTTGCCAATTTTTATTTTAAAATGCTCATAGTTTAGTCATCTGCAGATTCTTATAACAGCTGGAATGCTAATTTCAGTTAGAAATTTCAATATGATAATTATCAAAATCAACTTAGTTTTAGTAGAAAAATCAACTTAGTTTTTAGTATGTAAAACTTAACTTACCACTGTTTGTATCCACTTAGGAGTATCCAAGTTTCTGGCCAGAAAAAGATCAAGAATCAGTGTACAGTACATTTAAAGTCAAACAAGCAGAAGAATCATACCAAGGTTGTTTTATCACTCGAGATTTTATCCTTCAAGCCCTCCAGGATGAGTATGAAGTCATGTGTCGAGTTATCCAGTGTTCTGGTTGGCCTGAGATTTGCTCCCCCCTCAGCTGTGTATTTGATCTAATCTATCTAGTCCAGGAATGGCACCTTGAGTATCAGAATGGCCCAATGATTGTAATTGACAGGTAAATATAGGTACTAGAATAGGAAACTTAGTGTTATGATATATAACCTTTAGTACTAAACTCGTATAGTGCAGACTATATTGACAAAGAAACCTGAAAATTTAAATGTTCAGTGAATATTATTGGATGGTAATTTAGCTTGTGATCAGAATAACTTGAATGTGGTGGTTGTTAGTGGAAGAGAATATCAGCTTAATATTGGTACTCGGGTTACTAATTTTGTTTACACATCTTTTAGGTATGGAGGTACTGAGGCTGCAACTTTCTGCTGTCTGACAACACTCTTCAAACAGTTACAATATGAAAACAGAGTAGATGTGTACATGTATGCTAAGTTGTACCATATGCATAGACCAGGAATTTGGAAAACCCAGGTAGGGTTTACTTTTCTTTTCATGAAAATGGTGGGTCACCACCAATGTATGAATAAAGAACCAGAAATAATTTCTTTTGTTCAAGCTCCATAACCTAAAAGTTAAACAACTATTTACAAATTAGCTTCTGATTTTGTTCAATTGACATACGACTTTTCTGTACTGGATAGCTCAAAGTGGTTTGCTGTTTGTTCAAAATGAATGACAAAGCAACAAATGAGCCAAAAGTTACCGAACTTGTATCAGTCTTTTAACATGTTATTAGAGGAGGGTATTATTCACCATATATTATTTCCATGTATATTTGAATATAAAGATTTTATTTATTATTTGTAGCTGAGCAATGACTTTGGCAATTTTTATCAGGTTAAGACATATTGTTGTTAACATCTCCTTTAATACTAAGCCACGAAGACTACTGTGACAAAAAAATGTGTGTAATATAAGACATTTACTGGAAGATACTGGTGATAATAGTTTCTGTATCAGGTGATGGATGAGAATATGAGTTGTTCATGATAATGTATGAGGTTAATTTTCAGAACTACAAACCTTCGTATGTTTGATGTTCATCAAAACAAGCATAAAAAATCCAGCTACTTAGTTTCAAAATTGGTGTGATCACTTTAGTAGTGTTTCAAAAGGATTTGATAAAAATAAAACTGGATTCAATGACTGAGTCATAAAGAATTGTTCTAATAAATCATAAAAATTACAATAGCAATATTTCTCATTTTTCAGCATAAAATAAATGAGGGTAAATTACTCATAATATGTTAATAAAGTTTTGACACTGACACATACACTGAAACTTTAATGATCCTACATACTCACTGATGTGTGTTAAGTGGAATCATAATTATCCTAGATAGCCCAGATGTGTGTTAAGTGGAACCATAATGATTCCAGATACCCACAGATGTGTGTTTAGTGCAACCAAAATGATTCCAGATACCCACAGATGTGTGTTTAGTGGAACCAAAATGATTCCAGATACCCACAGATGTGTGTTAAGTGTAACAATAATGATTCTAGATACCCCCATATGTGTTTTAAGTGGAATCATAATGATTCTAGATACCACCAGATGCGTGTCAAGTGGAATAATAATGATCCTAGATACCCACAGATGTGTGTTAAGTGGAATCATAATGATCCTAGATACCCCCAGATGTGTGTTAAATGGAAAAATGCACTTACACATATTTAAGGAAACTAATACTTCAAATGTCTTTTATTCATGGCTTGAGTATAATTACATTTTTTTTTACTGAAGAGAGTTTAGAATGCAGTATATTATTCTACATTAGTGCAGGTTCAGTTGGAATAAGTTATTGAAAATGTGATATTAGAATTGTCTAGAATGAGATTTATTGTGAAGTGATAATAATAACAACTAACATGTTTAGTCTAATTGGATTTATACTTTGCATAAGCAAGCTATGATTACAATGTTTCAATATTAAAACTATAATAATTTCAGCAGTGAGATATTTTAAGGCATTGTTTTTAAGGTATGATTAATTTTGCTGCATGTAAGCCATATATATATTGGTATGAAATATACAAGTTCTAAAAGAACTGGTTCCTACCATTGGAATCATCAACATAAGTTTGGCATAATTATAACATAAAAACATTAATGAAGTGTTTTCATAGAACCTTCACGTAGCAATTAACATCAGGATTTTCCTTTATCTTCCACATTACTCCTTAACATAGTTCAGGTTTTTAACATTGGGATTTTCCTTTATCTTCCACATTACTCCTTAACTTAACATAGTTCAGGTTTTTAACATCAGGATTTTCCTTTATCTTCCACATTACTCCTTAACTTAACATAGTTCAGGTTTTTAACATCAGGATTTTCCTTTATCTTCCACATTACTCCTTAATTTAACATAGTTCAGGTTTTTAACATCGGGATTTTCCTTTATCTTCCACATTACTCCTTAACTTAACATAGTTCAGGTTTTTAACATTGGGATTTTCCTTTATCTTCCACAATACTTCTTAATTTAACATAGTTCAGGTTTTTAACATTGGGATTTTCCTTTATCTTCCACAGTACTCCTTAACTTAACATAGTTCAGGTTTTTAACATTGGTATTTTCCTTTATCTTCCACATTACTCCTTAACTTAACATAGTTCAGGTTTTTAACATCAGGATTTTCCTTTATCTTTCACATTACTCCTTAACTTAACATAGTTCAGGTTTTTAACATCAGGATTTTCCTTTATCTTTCACATTACTCCTTAACTTAACATAGTTCAGGTTTTTAACATCAGGATTTTCCTTTATCTTTCACATTACTCCTTAACTTAACATAGTTCAGGTTTTTAACATCAGGGATTTATGATGCACCAATTTTTTTTCTTCTGATGTTCATGAGACATTGTAAGTTTTCCTTAATTTTTCAATTAGAGATTGCCATATCTTATTATGTTATTGGATGATTATTATTAACAACTGTGTTATTTCAGGATAGGTAACTTAACTACTGCTGCTTAACAGTATAGAGTTTAATATTTCCCTACATCCATTGATGAGTGTTGTTTAAGAACTGACTGTAATATTTCAGCATGAAGTAGCTATCTATTAAAGTGTAATAACAGGAATCTGTGATATTTCAGGATGACTACTACTTTCTCTATCGAGCACTGGAAAGTATCATTGACAACAGAATTCCAGAGGAAATAGATCCCTTATTCAGCAATCAACAGATTGAAACTAATGGTCACGTAAGAAGTAATGGAGATGCTTTTAGAGTAAATGTTGCTTCAGTTTCACTGTGAACAAATAACCACACACACACACATATATATTGTTTTGTTTATGAGGATCACCAACTCTCATATAGTTGTTTTTTTTTAATCAAAGGATGATCCAAAAAGTATATGTATGTAACTGTAAGATAACACAGGAAATAGATCAATGACTTCATAGATGTTAACAAACTTTAAAATGCTCAGTAATGGTTAATCCAAATAAAAAAATTGAAATTAAATGTTTTTATGTGTACTGTTAAGACAGTTGAGATTAGATTTGCTCAAGAGCCATAAATGGTGTCGCTGTTATGGTAGTGTTAATACAATGGGATACAAGCTTTTAAAAAGGTGTATTTTTGTTTGTCAGTATTTGTTAGTAGTCTTTTTTTTTTCATAATTTATTAATAAGTGCTTATATGTGTAACTTGAATTATACTCTCTTTTTTTCTGAAAGATATATTTATTTATTGATACACTTGCAAAGTCTTGAAAGAGTTGTATTATTTATTTTAAAATATAATATGCTCACTGATTAGTTTGCAGTTGTGACCAGTGGCAACAGAACTGAAAATAGAAAGTTTGTTGATTACTTTACAAAAACAAATTACTTAATTTGCTGTAGGTGTGAATTAGCCATTTTTAGTATGCTTATTTCTTCATATATAACTAAGAAAGAAGTTCAGAGTCCATCAGGACATCAGACAACACAGAAAAGTATTATATATATTTCAAGAAGTATGTAGTCAACGAGGACATTATTGTTAAAAGGTTTAAACTGAAGAGAGCTTCCAGCTTAAGAGTTTTATGTACAGGGAGAGTAATAAATAGCATAGAATATGTGTGCAATTTGATGTTAATGATACTAAATCATTAAAATATTGAATAGTAATTTAGACCCACTCCTTCTATATCATCTGTACAAAGTTCATATTAGAAAGTTATTATCAGTTCGTTTATCACTGTTGCACTCTAAGTAGAGTTGATTAGAAACAGTAGTTTTTGTCATCAAAGAAAATAAAAAAATAAAATGGGAGCAAAACAAACATTCACAACTAGAAATAGTTTCCTATTATTAAACCTATGGCAAGTGTTTGTACAGGTTACTATAAAACTTTCATATAATAGTCACAGCTAGGATTTCTGCATTGAAACCCAACATAGTTGATCAGGATAGTTCTAGAAAGTTGTTATTGTGAAAAAAACAGTAAAAGAACGTTTTCTTACTTTCTTTATACACTATATCAAGTTTCAATGTAAAATGTATTAATGAAACATTTTTAAACTGTTGCTTGTTAATTCTGGTTTTCAGACCTATTGCAATTACTAAATGAATATATTCTCTTCAATAAACTTTAACCACGTTATCTTGATTTTCAGGTTATGTGGTTATAAAAAAACAAATAGAATCTGACAATAAACTAGTACTTAATCTAATTATATAGATGAGATTCATTACTAGCCTAGAATTCAATCAAAATAAGATGATATTTTGAACAATATGAAAAAAACACCGGGTGAATCGTACTCAGTGAAGAACAACTTGTAAACAAGCTGATTACTGCCTTACATGTACATAATACAAAATGAACAAGACTGTAGAAATAACCATCCTGGAAGAAGACTGGACTGGTTGTGTTTAACATTGTAAGTCTTCATCCTAAAAGAAAAAAATGTAAAGTTTAATTGAAAATAAGTACAGTCCAAGTCCCGGTGAGATTCCAATGAAGAGAAACAGGTAATTAATAGATACATTTGAACTTATAAAGTTCAACTTATCATTCCTGAATATTTTCTACTCAAGTTTTCATAAGGTTTACTTCTTCTTGTCTCTCTTCAGTGACTTGTTTATAAGTGATGTACGATACTAACATGTTGTGTTGCTGTTGTACTGTTTAACTGTTATTTAGGAGTAAGAATTTTCATATTTTATCAGTTGATGTTGATTACATTTGGGGATAATGTTTACTTGTTGCAAATATAATTGCTAGAATCTTTATTATAGAATACTATGTAGTGTTAATGAAAGTTGACGATGTTTTGTTTTAAAGCATCATTTTTAAAGATTTCTTGTGGGCTCATGTAAGATATTTCCTCATTTTTTGTAGCTGTTACTCATTTTTCTGTGTGAATGTTTATTAGCTCCTAGATTATTTAAGTCATTAGTATTGTGTAGAATTACAGTACAGAAAGTCTCAAATATTTGTAAAAGTTAGGTATTTAAGATATCATCTGTTACTGCTTTCCACACACTAAAAAAAACTACCACCCTTACTAAAGTGGGCCCCCTCGTGGCTCAGCAGATAGCCTATGACACTAAAATTCAGGGTTTGATTGCTGCAATGACCACATCACAAATAATCCATTGTGCAGTTTTGTGCTTGACAAAAAATAAAACAATTATTAATAAATTTTATTTCCAATTGAGGCAAATTTTTCAAATGATGCTATTGTGTTACTTATAAATCTACTAGAAGAATTTAAAAGCATTATCTCAAAAAATTGCAAAAGAGGTGCCAAAACACACATAAGTGAATATAAAACAGTGCCTCTTAATCTTATACAACTTACTTTATTTATAGAAGTGGTTCATTTGTATTGGAAACATTAAATCTCTATTTATCTTGGGTTTATCTTGTACCTATAGGTCTTTTTTTAATGCTTTTGTTTCTTTTAAAAAAAAAAGACTGTTTTTCTCAATCCATTTTGTTATATAAATAGGTAGAAGCAGAAATTTCTCGGGAATAGATTTTTCCCAAGCTTACCTTTATTAATATGGGCAAATGCAATATGCATACAAAACATGTTGAGTAAGAGCATTACTGTACAAGACTTGTGAATTGTCATACATTTCTGAGAATGGCTCAAAACAGACTTGTTTTTTTTACAGTTTGTAAATGTTTGATAGACCACATTTGATAATTAGAACATCATGGATGAAATCATTTGAAAATAATCTGTAGTTTTTGCAACTCAGGGAGATGTAATCTGGCAAAGCATAATTCTAAATTAGATTATGAGAAAATTAAAAATGTATCCTCTAGGGCTTCTTGATGATAATGTAAGTTGAAATTGTAAAGGAACAGTTGTTTGCTATGAAATTTTTATGCTGCTCTAAAAAATCAATTTAACCTTGTTGTCAGAACTAGATAGTATATTACATGTTATATCTGCATTTTTCTTTTTAAAAAGACAACAGCTGAGGATACATTTTCGGGTTTCAATTATTAGGAGAAACAGTTGTCAGAATAATACTGATAAATCTATATTGAATTTGTATTTATCGTTGTAATATTCATTACATATATAATTTATTAAATATTTATTTTTTGTATGAACATTTAAGTTATAATTTTTGTTCTATTTGCAAGAGACAGAGTGATTATAAATAAAAATCCTGTACTTATAATAATTACATCTTTAAAAAAACTACTTATTCTAAAGGAACAAAAATACACCAGAAGCACATTGAGAATTATAAGTTTTACTCAGGAAAGCTTGGACATCATACAGTGTGTTTCAAAATCATATTATTATACTTCACATTAAAATGCTCTTCTCAAAAACAAGCACTGCTTTTATTTTTCTTTAGTGCTTTATATAAGAACCATGTCATTGTGCAGAATATTGAGAGGATCAATGAACATGTCCAGAAAGAACAAATGGTGTTTGCAGTATCTATGTTTAGGAATAGGTTTTAGATGCTGATTGAGAATGATGGAATGCATACTGAACATTTTTTGAAATATTCTATACCATTTCCAAATCTTCCTTAATATGTCTTTTTGGTTAAATTTTGCTCCCCTAAGACGAGTATTTTTTTTAAGATACAATAATTTTAAATGTGACAGTTTTGTTTCTGATCACATTGTTTCAATTATGTTTTTTTTATCAGAAAAACGTTTCCCAAATAACTATGCTGGTATTGTAATTTATTGTAACAACCTCTTACACTGCTCATATACTTAAGTCTTCCACTATTATTTTAACATAATAATTCTTTGTTGTTGTTTTTTTTGGTTAGTATTGAATGTTTACTTATTTCAATGCTACTTCAAACCTATAAAAGAAAAAAAAATTGTGTGAATTAAGTTACTTTTAGAAAACCCTGTATTTTATAACAAATACACCATGTGAATGAATTATCTTGCACAAACTGACTGATTTGAGCTACAGATGAAACACAATAAAAATGTTACTGCAAAATACTATAGCTGTGTTTCTTTACAATATTGTTGTTTTAATATAAAAAACTATTGGTCATCTGTACATTGTTATCTGTTACATTACTACTCATTTTGAGGAGTTGATATTGTTAAAATTATAATACTACATTATAGAATAGTTATTACTGGATCACCAGTTTCTTGTTAAAATGAAACTTACATTTTAAACCATTTAAATTGCTTGCTGAAAGATTAAGGTAAAATTGTATGATGTTGTTTTGCTTGATTGATACTGTAAGTTTTACTTTCTAAATACCAACAACTTTGTGTGAAATTAAACTGAAATGAGCTCTTGTAGAACAACCATTTCAAAAATAAATAATCACTATAATTTCTGGTTCAAAAATAATGTAGAAGCACTAGATCAGTATTTTCAAATAATATATGTTATGTAGTAATAAAACTGAATTATAACAGAAAATATTCTTGTGTTGTTCCTCATAACCCATGTAATTGCCATTCAGTGAACCACGTAATATAGCTTTTTTTTTCCATATACAGCTCACAAACTTTTAAATCTTTTTTTTTTGAAAAACAACCTTACTAATATACTTTCAAATTTCTTGCTTTAACACTAATTACTACCAAAACTTTCTATGTACAGTATCATTAAAATTGTACTAGTTGTTCTAATTTTTGTTTAATTTGAACAGTTATATTAGTTAATCAAATATCTTCTCTGCTGCATCATTAGTTATCAAACTTATGTTGAAAAACTTTTCAAAATGCATTCAAAATTTTACAAAATTATTAAACACATCTTATCTCTCATTAATGACTTTTTAATGGTATTCAAATCTGAGATATTCTGCTATGCAGACAAACCATGTATTTCTTTTTAGTGCAGCAAATTTCAGTTTTTTAAAATCATTTCAGATGTTTGTGCAGTTTTCACATAACACATTGGCCAAGAAATCCGTTAAGTTCCTTTTGTTCTAGCTACCTACTGTTCTGTGACATTCACCTAAGGTATCACCTTTTTCTTCCCATAGGAAAGGTGTCTGCAAATACATATAATGCATGAAAGTTGACAGTGACCTTTTCCACTGACAAGTCAGGTTATGTCTATCTCCTGTATGATGAATGAAAATAACCAACAGTTACATGGGTAGTGCAAGTTGGCCTGAAAAAGTATGACATAATAGAGGTATAATGTTGTTTTACTCAGACTTGGACAGAATATAGTCTAGAAAATCTTGTATATGTTGATATTTTCCTACACTAAAAATATATTTCCAACAGATACATTCACTCACAATTACAGCTGTTCTTGATTTGGCTGCCCTCTAGGGTGCAAAGTTTTGCAAACGATAGCCTTGAACTCCCACCTAATACCATGTGGTTCAGCTGCATTTATGCATGCAAATTAGCATATGACAACTCTCCACCAATAGTAGTGTTGACACACCTTCCTGTTGCAGCTGATTCCCTCTATGCAGTTGAACCCAGTCATCATTTCGAGGTTAGACACAAAAAACACTACCAGAAGTGGGGAGGATAACGATCAGACTTCAAAGCTTTTTATTTACCAAAATTGGAAACTAGAGAGTTTAAATCTAGAAATAATTTCTTTTGGTTTTGAAGTGAATAAACCCAAATTTTTACATGGAGATCTGCACTGGAAGTATAGATATGTTTCATGTTTTTTAAACATTTTATTGTCCTTCAGTTTGTATACATATGCTGAAGAACTTGCAGAAAAAACTAAATCCAGGTTAGAAAAACAAACCAGCTCACATAGAAGCTAAATTCAAAGAGATTTGTGAGTAGCAATCTTTTACTTTCTGTACACACAAAAAATATGATAGATTCCATGATAACTGTAGTTAATTTTTTTGTTTCAGATGTTTCTATATTTGAATATCAAGAACTGCAGAATTATACATAGTTGTCATTTGATCTTATTTTTTTGGTACAAAATTAGATACTTGTCACTCTTAAGTGTGATCCTATTGAAGTTGCAGACAAGTGTTCAAATAATCATTCCAATATAAAAAAAACTTTTAGACTCCCTAAGATTCACATATCTTACTAAAATCATTAGTATTTAAAAAAAAAAGCTAGACAGTCACCCAGAAAGCCCCTGCCCTGCAATGTTCTTGACTTTTGCAACAAACAACCTAATATACACATCAAAAAATTTCTCACCCTCTAAAAATATTGATATAGGTGCCAACATCCTCTTTCTATCTGTTTGTTTTGGAGTTTGCTACTATTATAATAAAAGGATTTGATCTTCAGTGAGACTTTGATGTTCGAGCTACATTCATCAAAAGTTAATCAACTGTCTTTGAGGGATACTCAAACTTTATATCAAACTCAAAATCAGTTAAACTATTCACACACAGTTAAAAAAATATCCCCCACTATTGGGTGGAAATAAAAATAAATTCTTAGTGATTTATAGGTGTAAAATGATTCCTTGCCACAAATAATGGTAAAGCTATAATATGCTGATATTGTTCTTTTTTAAAAAGAACAACTAAAACAGCATAAATAACATGTAGGTTCTGTTATAAATATTTCTGTGACTGTGTGAAAGTTGAACAATAAGATTTCCTAAATATTAAATACCTGTCTTTAGCAGGTTCTGATGGGATTGTTATCTGAGAATTTTGATACACGTGCATCAACTGAAGAAGTAATGGCTTAATAATATATATTCACATTGTTTTCTCAAAGTAGTTATGTGCTACAAAACAGTCATATACGTCAAATTTTATCTTGGAGTTTTTTTTTTCCTGCATGTGGGTAAAGGAAATACTACTAAGGAAGTTCCTTTGTTTTCATGGGACTTCCTTAGTAAAATGTATGTTTTTTTAACAACAGTCTTCTTTTATAAAGGGCTTATTTATCCTCAAAAGGCCCTTCATGCCAAATAAACATTTACACTTCACAGTAGCTTCTGGAAAAGAAAGTAGTGACTAACATGAAGAACTTATTTATCTATATCCCGTGCAGTACCACTGAAATTTTAAACTACACTAAAAACCACAATTATATTTATTTTTATACATGTAGGTAACTTGGAAAAATATTTATGATTCGGTGTCTAAAAGGTATGGAAATAATTTATGAGATTTTGAAAATTCAGGAAGAATACTGCATCACAGAAAAGAAGAAAAAGGGAAAAGGAACAAAACTGGGAAAGCAAACAAAAAAAGATAAATTGAAAAAATGTACACTGACTATTAGTTTTTGTCACTAAAAAAGCACTGTTGTCACCAAGTCAGGCATACTGAAAAATCAGAGAATACTTTCAGGACCCTTGATCGAGGCTACAGGAAAAATCTGATATTTTAGAAATAACTTTATTCCTGTCATGGATAATTTATTTTATTTACCACTGGGACATGTTACATTTAAAATTAATGACTGAATGTTTACCCAATAAAAACTGTGATGTAGTAATTTATTTAAAAAAATTTTGTGCAATAATCAGATATACAGATAAGCAAATCTTCATTTTTCATTAGTAGTTAAACATGTGATTCAGACACTTGCAGTAGTACATGCAGGTCAAATAGAACATAATTTTGAAAATTTGAAGATGAATTGCAGACTAATATAATTACTGTGATTTGTGAAAGAAAGGATAAAATTTTTTAAATTTTAAATAACTCAGTTTTTGTAGTTTTGACTTTCATTTTCCAATACTTTTGTAGCATTAAAACTTTCTATATTACTATAGCTAGCTAGGTTAAATATATATCAATCCCTACTTGTCTTTATAGAATTTAATTTTTTTTATTATACTTGTTAGGTTTAAGCTGCATTGTATCAGATAGGTTCTATAAATGACTTGTTAATTTACAAGTTGTGTAGTTAATACTATAAGTTAGGCAAACAAATACAGTATTTGTAATTATAATGCCTTTTTCTCTTCAAATTAATTTGTGATATTACTTTTCAACAATATTATTGATTTAAGTTTAACCCTCTCCTCCAAAGTGCATCACCAGTCATTTCAAATAAGATGAGTAAATTATAGTAAAAAGACCCCAACTTTGGCCAGGAAGTTGATGTTTACATAAACTAGTGACAACAGTGTACTAAATTTGAATAAATGAAATGATCATGAACACTCCAAAAAATCTTTCACTGTTTTTATTAGCTCAATACCTTAATAACATACATATATTTTCAGTACAGTAGAAATGTTGTGTAAATAAAAAAATGAAAAACAAAAATGTGAAGAATACCCTTGGGTTTGCAGTTGTTTCATATGTTCATAATAATGTGAACTGTACTCCAATCAGCATCAATTAATTTTTAAAAATGTATAAATAATCCAGATAGCAGTGCTAAAGTATACGTGCTAAAAAACATAGTTTAATACTAAAATTCATCAGTTTTTCTATGTAGTTATCTATATCAAACCAATACAAAAAAAGTTACTCCCCCTAATTTGATTAGTTCAGAAAACATCAGTTTGTGTTGAAAATGTGTGTACATCTTAGGTAATTTAATCTTTTTATTCTGTGGTTTTATTTTGTGTGAAGAAGTATTACAAAATGGTGCCCATATTCGTTCTTTTCCTTCATTATAGAGAAAACCATTGACTTGAAAGCTGTTAGTCTTAACAAATTGTGGGTAAGAGATTTATTGATCCTTGCAGACTGGGATGAATATTGTGATGGATGCTTAAGAAGGAAGATCATATCAATAGAACTGAAGAACTAAAGCCTAGATACACAAAAGAATTACACCACTAAACAGACTAAAATGTACTTTCTTTGTTAATTGTAGGTTTTCATAATTACTCATCTACACAAAATTAACTTATTACAGATGAATATATAATAATAAATTGTTAATCACTGTGCATCTGTAGATTCTGTGAAAATACATTTTATCTACATCATGTTAAGTATTATATTTCTTACAGTGTAAGAATGTTTTAACATTGATCATTAATTAGTGATGAAATAAATTCGTACTAAACAAAAGGTTCTTTAAAATCTTCATGACAAACATTATATCCTCCCAACTTCCATATAATGACCTTTGATTTTCTCTTATGTATTGTAACAATAAAACTCATGATAATCTGCCACTCAAAAAATGGAATTACTAAAAACTTAAGACTTGTTTGTAAATTTAAATAACCATATACTGATTCCACACATCAAAAAGGAATTAATGATTCTGAGATACTGTCAGGAGTTGCATGTTTAATTGACATGAGTACATTACATAGTTGTAGAATAAACAATTTTACAAAAAGTGTAACATTCACCTGACTAGCATCCTTTCATGATCTATACCTAAAACATCCCTTGACCTTACCTTGCACTTCTCTTGAAAATAAAATGTATTTAGTTAGCAACTGCTGAGAACATTTTGAATATTCAATTTATTAACTAATACCTGCATTTGTGAATAAAACTGTATTCCAGGCATAAATGTCATAATGTCTGTTTCATCAGTTTACGTCTTGGGACATACTTAAGGGCTTTGCTCCAGTTCCCACTTTTTTTCACCTCCAAGAGGATCTGCATGACCTGGTTCAGTGTAAGACTTTTGCTTCCAAGTCCCCATCTTATATATAAAATAATATTATATCTCAATTAATCGACATATTGTAGTATCCAGGAAGAAGTGTGCATATAGCACCATCAATTACTTAAAAATCACACTAGTAAATATTGATTGCAAAATAAGTAATTATGAAGTCCATATTTACATAATTATCAAAAACATATGGGAATCATTGAATAATTTTCTTTGACATGAAAATAATTCTTGGATTCATAAAATTTGCACAATAACAAAAATTCAATATAAAGGTGATGCACATGTTCCAAACATATTTGTACATGTGAATAGTTTAAACAGTTACAAAAAAGGCATGGAAGCTATGTTAAGACAATCTGAAGTTTTACTTAAATATAACAGAACAGATCTGTAAAATATGTTACAGCATATATATATGTATACATATACATGTTTTATTTCAGCTCTTGATGATACATTTTTGATAAAATTTGTTGAAGAGGTGCAGATTCAATTAAGTTACTCCAAACATCTGCCACTATGCCCTTCCCTTGAGAATTTAACTTTTATAAATCTTTTGCTACAAGTTACAATGATTCAGTGAATAATTGAAACTTATATATTTATCTAACCTGAAACACTTCATTTGTTTCCTTTGAAAACAAGAAATCATCTATATTTGAGGGAAATATAGTTCTCTGTGTAGCTAATTCAAATAAATAATTGGAGTTAAAAATAAAATAATTAACTAATATATAGTGTTATTTATCCTTACTGTAATTCTGATTTGTAAATGAGCTGAATAAAATGAATATTAGTTACACTTCACTTACTTAGTCTAGATCACACCATTACAGTTGATTTTTATGCAGTTGATAATATAAGTAGATCCTGTTGTATACAAGCTTGCCTGATAAATCCTGCTATTGGATGAAAGGCCTCAGCAGCACTCAATATAGCAGATATAGTCTGGTTCACATATTATTACACATTCATCTTGATTGAATAATATGTTATAAACTCCTACCATATATACCAATACAGTATATAACATTTGGATGCTCATATATATTTTGTCATTTTATTAAATTTTCTATATTATTTAAATTATAAAACCTACATAAGCAAGATAAACCATACAATATGAATAAATAAATCTCTTTATGTTAATTCAAAAAACAAAAAAGTTCACACAGTTAAAGTATTAGACAGGAAAACTTCAAAATGGACAAGTTCATTTGTTCAATACATTTACATGAGTTTTTGGTATGCTAAATTTTCTTTGTACTTTGCAAATAAAATCATACCTCATGGTCTGTGTTTTTGTAAAATCTTACTACATAATTACTAATGTTCCCAATCCAAGGTTTCGGTCACTTTCTTATGGCTTTTGTGCTTCTTCTACTTACTTAGGTAGGATGAAAGATATTTGTAGCATTAAATATAAATGCAAACAGCAACTGGTAAAATAATTGTCAGTACTTACGACAAATACAAATCCAAAGGTAATTTGGCCATTTTCAATCCTTCCTTCTTAGCTTTAGCCAGGGATATTGGTTTTTGAATACCCTTATCAACCATACCACCTACAATAAATAAAATGAATCAGTTACTGGAAGATTTATTTCTGTATTCTATAAGTTACCTCACCCATTTTTTTTTCACTATGTACATTAACAAAAAATTAAAGTAAGGTATATGGTTGTAAAATATTATATTGAATTCTGTTACCTATCTCTTAAAGCAGTGGTTCTTAATCTTTTTAAGCAGAAACCTTCGGGGAATGAAATATACTTTTAACCTAAACTCCTACCATGCCGTTGTCACCGTAGTTGACCAATGCTTAGATAGGCAAAACTAATGTCGAGGAATAGTTAAATTGGCAGCAGAGAGTATGTTTTGGAATGAGAGCTTCCAAGGAAGCCCACATCCCCCCAAAAAAGATACAACCTCTCATGCAGAGAGAGGAGGAGAAGGTAGGAGCTTTATGAGTACCCGCTCATTATCCTCAAGCCAAAGTGGAGAAGGCTAGGCTCAGCCAAGATGGGAATTGAAGAAAAACCTCAAATGAATAAGATACTGCACAGATGTAATAACAGACCTCTCCAAATTGATGAGAAACTCCACCAGAGCACCTTCTTGAAGAAGTAAGCAGGTGTGAGTGACTGACTGGTCACAGGAAGAGGCGAGCAACAGCAAGTCATCCATGTAATGGTGAGTTCAAAGACCCAGCAAGTGAAGATGATGTACAAAATAACTTACCACTTGATAAAACACATACGGAGTTGAAGGCAGACCAAATGGCAGCACCCAGAACTAGAAGACAGTGGACAAAGTGAAGAAAAATAGCATGAAACTGGGGCAATTGGAATATGAAGATAGGCAACCATCACATCGAACCTAGTCATCTATAGTCCCAGGGAAAAAAATTAACCAACACACCCACAAATTTGATGGAAATTACAATTACCCAAACAGTAAAGATTGTGCAAAACCAGTACACATAGCAAAAATTAAACAAACAAAGTAATAATCAAATTATAAATGCAAGTTTAAACTAAAGTAACCTTGATGGTAAAAGAAGTATAAAAATCTAATCTGAGCAGAAAAGACCTAAAATATCGAGTGGAGAAATTAGATTCATCCACACAAGTGCACATAAACTCACTAAACATGGGTAGTATACCTACAGAGAGTGAGGAAAACACACTGAAAACTTACCACTGAACTCCTGGGAAAAAGAACAATACCTAACCCAACAGATTACATGGAGGTGTGGTAACAGGTGGAAAGTTCTGAAGAAAGAAATTTCCACACAAGTTATATCCTTCTTCACAAAAATGAAAGGAAGAACTCATCGGCTGACAAGCACCCCTCCACAAACTAAGCCTGTGCTTCCCCAGCAGACATCGTCAACCTCGAGATGAATCAGAACCATTGTCTACTATTGCAGGACTTTCATCATCTGCCATATTAAATCAAAATCATCTGAACAAATTATAATTTGGAAAACATAAATATTTCGAAAACAAACAAGCAGAAACAATGAAAATCAAACACGAGAGGTCAAAACGTGAAGTTTAAACCAATATAAACATTTATCAAGCACAATCAAAATTTTGTAGCCACATTAAGAATGAGTTAAAACATATATCTATACACTAGAATGCCAATCAAGAAGGTGAGGATTGTGCTAGAATAGTAGAGGGAGCTACTTGCACTAGAATAGGTGGCACAGTATGATTGGTGGAGGGGAGTCACATGATATACACATGTTCTGAAATGGCACAAAATAAAGGGGTATAATATGGTGTGCTATTAGCGAAAACTTTTTCATCAATGCTTAGAGGGCAATTCAAAGTCGAGATAGCTTTGGGTGAGTATCATTTTGGAAGTCTGCTTGCAACCCTTTCACAGACTCTGACAACATAGTTTTAAGCAGCAACACCTGGGTTGAAAAATGCTATCCTAAGGCTTTTAAGGACAATTAAATGACTTTAGAAATTTATGCAGACATGAAATGTGACTTTTAATGCACAAGTAAGAAATTACTGTCTCACACAATATAAAAACTATTTTAATAACCTATTTGATGTGCAATGAATAATTTTTTCTGAGAACAACTTAAAACAAGAACTTTATAAAAATCTGTAAAAGATAAAGCAAGCACTAGAAAATAAATATTTTACATTGGAAAAAAATATTCAACTGACCTATTATATATACTGCTTCATGATCATACTCCTTTAATGGATTTCTTGTATGTGGTGTCAAGTATACAAGCTTCTCCTTTGGGAAAATATCTAGATAGCTCTGAGGAGTTGTGGTTATGAAACAATTATATTCTCTTAAATTTGGAATAGTTTTTGTCAAAAACTGGACAATCTGATTTTCAGGATGCGCATTGCAAAAATACAAATCAAAAGGGTCTTCATCACATTTATTAACTGCATACAATTCCTGAAGTTGGTCAGCTGTATTCATGCACTCACGTTTTGTCATATGGCTACTGTAGTCTAAATCAACTACTATTTTTTGCCCATAAATCATAGCACTAGCCATTTTGTGGTTATAAAATTTATTCATTGTTGATTCCCGAATATATAAAAAAATGGTGTTTCTTCCAAGACCATATTCTGAATGTTTATCTTCTGCAGAGGTTTCAGCCTTTTTTAGTGCTCGCTCAGCACGTTTAAGTTCTTTTTTTTCTTTCTCTGAAATCCGCAAGACCTCTTTTTTGAACAAAAAAGTAAAGTACTTTCTTCTTGCACTCCTTGAATCCATCAAAAGAAGTTCTTTCATGTCCTTTTCCCTTAACACTGATGGAGCTTTGAAGCCACTCTGCCTGGCAACTTCACATTCCATCAAAATTAGCTGAATCTTCTTTGCTGTTTCTGGATCATTTTGACTTAAGTTAGAAAACTGTTCATTTGATTCACTGAAATTCTCTACTGTTGACTCCTGATTGTTATGCTTAACAGAAGAAAAATAAGTCCTACAAGGCATACAGTTTGTAAAAATTTTAACTAAATTCACTTTATGCATATTAGGGATTTGTCTTGGCATTGCAGAAAAATGTCTGTTTCCATAATCTCTAGTGCACATAGCTGCACAAGAGAATGAATGTGGTCGACAATGAAATATCTGGCTGAAGAACATGCACTTTATTTTCATGTATTCATAACTTTTCATATCAAACAGTTTGTTCCTGCTTGAAGAATTCCACTGTACTAAAAACCTTTGAGTTTTATAGAGGCTTACATACCCTTTCCTCAAAACATTAAAATATAAGATTGTTTTTCTTAGTTTCTGACTGAACATTGTTCTTAAATTAATTTGTGTAAGCATTACAGTTTTCTTCTTGTTAATGAGTGCAAATCATGTCTGGCAAAAAGAAACAACAGCCCCAGAAAAAGCCCTGCAAACAAGTAAAAGAATAAAAGGTATTTTAAAACAACTCAGTACCCATCAATCACAAGTTACGCAAAAATTTCAATCCGTGATGCAGCGTAACGTTAATATTTACAGGTCCTTATCATTTTAAAAGCTAAGCTAAACCTCTAAAGATCTAAGGCCAATTAATGCTATTTATTAGTACTTTTTTTATAAAATATGTTGTTCAGAAAAATAATTCACTGTAAAGAATAACCTTATATATAAATATACTTTATGTGAGGTAAATATATTACTGTCTCATAATTAGACCATATTAAGTTTTGTACTGGTAAACAATATTTCAATAAGATGAACAGTCTACTATCAACTTATAATATCCTTATCTGTTATGTATGTGCCTGAGAAGGCTATTTCTTAAGCAGATATATAACTTCAAGTACAAGTGCCACAACTCAATAGTTATATTGATTCAGGATCATGATAAATGGTAACTTTGAAAAAAATTAATTTGCTGTCAGTTTTCTCAATGAACATTTTTAAAGATTTATTTGGAACTTTTTCTAACAAACACAGGAAAAGTTAAAATAATAAATGTAAAGAGCATCAAAAAGACTACAAAATTCATGCTTAAACTAAGAACCTTTGCCTTTACATTATAGACCTATTAGTCTTACATCAGTGGTAGGAAACATTTTTAATAGTCTCATAAAAGATGCTTTGCAAAATCATTTAACAAAGTTTAAAAGTTTGTTGGATAGCCGGCATAGTTTCAAAAGGGGAGAATCTTGCCTTACTAATCTTTCGCCATTCTTTAAAAAGGTTATTGCTTATGTAGGTGAGAGTACGGGCATGGATTTGGTGCATCTGACAAGGTGCCACTTAAAAAGCTTGCTAAAAAAATTATCACTGTAGGTGTAGAGGATAGGTTGGCTCATTGAACAGAAAATGAGCTAGAAGAAAGAAAGCAAAGGTTTGTTACAAATAGAGTTCAGCTAAACTTGATTAATTTCATGAGTGGAATACCTCAAGGCTCTGTGTTAGGCCTTTTGCTCTTTTTGATTTACATCAATGACATAGATGAAGGAAAGATCAATAAATTTTTTAAATTTGCTGATAAAATTAAAGTTCTAGGTGTTGCTGGCTTTGAAGAGGATGCCACTGCTTTACAAAAAATCTGGATTATTTGGAGAGTTAAGTAAATAAATGCAAAGGATATCATAATTTAAATTGAGTATAATTTTGATGGGAATTACTTTAACAGTGTTAAAGAAGAAAATGATTTTGGTGTTCTGTTTATCTGTCTCTTATGCTATCCAAGCATTGTGCTTTTGCTAGTGGGAGGGCAAATATGATTTTAGGTTATATCAACAGAAATATTGCATTGGTTAGGCAACATTTGGAGTACTGTGTTCAGTTCTGGGCTCCTTACCTTAGAAAGGACATTGAAATGATGGAAAGAGTTCAGAGAAGGGATAATAGGATAATACATGGGAAGGAAAGGTTGTCAATCTAAGATAAGATCTCTAAATTTGTTTTCTCTTGAAAAAAGAAGAGTTAGAGGTGCTCTGATTGAGATGTTTAAGATTGTTAAGGGAATTGATAGTTTTGCTGTATCATATTTTTTCATATTTAATGGTGAAAATGGTAAGGTATGAGACATAAATATAAATTTTGGCAGGATAGGAGTCACCTTCTGCTAAGACAGCTTTATCTTTCTAACAGGGTGGTTAGCCTTTGGAATGGATTTCCTTCAGATGCAGTTAACTTAAGGGAGTATAATGGAAAAACTTGATAAATATTTGAATGACAAAGGATGACTGAGTTTTTTAGTGTTTAGATTAATTTAGCACATAGGATGACCTACATGGACCAAAAGCTCCCTTGCTGTCCTTTAATGATATGTTATTACCTGGATACTTTACAATGTTTTGATTTCATGAAAAAAACTGTAAAAAACATGCTTTTGCTCCTGAAGCAATTCTATTTGAAAATTGCATGCATCTCATAGCAGTTATAGGTTAGCATGCTAAATTATGTGCAATTTTTCTAATATTTAACACTTATTAGAATTAACTTAGTGTCAATATAACATGTTTAAAAAAATGAAATAAAAAAAATTCATACATGTGATATATCATTATAACAATGAATGACACATTAAATAATCTAGGAATGTGTTACTAACAGTATAAACAACAGCAACAAGCTTATTACTTGAATGTCACATATATGAAAGATGTCACCATATCGCAAAAAAAATTCATAATGTATTTATAAATTACAATAATATTTAGTTTTTGCAGAAATTTTTAAATGAGTATTAACAAATTATTACACAGAAAACTATTAGTATTACTAATAGTTATTCTTTTATCATATGATCTAATTTATGCTTTTTTTACACTTCCAAGTTCCATTTAAATTACACCATAGCTTACGGTTCAAATTCGATGATGAGGAACCCACTTTGAGACTAATAATGGCTGGAAACGGCTTGAATGGGTAATGAAGAAAAACTTTAATATAAGTTTAACATAACAGCAAATGTACAACATTTCGACAAGGTTTTAAAGTTTTTCTTCATTACCCATTCAAGCCGTCTCCAGCCATTATAACTTACGGTTATTTTTCTTTGGTAAAATTTTACTTTGGGACGACTAAAACTAAAATGTCTAATGACGTAAAAATTTAAATATTATCAACTTTTAATATCACACATGCAAATTACGACTTAACTAACATATTATTGTACGCAATAAAATACTACGACAGTAAGAAGTCGTGACACAATGATAAAGTTCAAACTAGCTTTGT